ATTTCTCTCCCATATCCGCTATTTGTATTGTTAAATGCGGCAAAGGCAAATAACTAAATTGATATTTCTCCACACACACACACACAGACACACTACAAAGCGTCTACATAAGCATGTGAAGAGGTGTTCTCCGGGATACATAAGATGCCAAGGGGTGGCTTTCTGATCCCATGTAACACTCTGGCGAGAGAGAAAAATTTATGCTGCCACACAGATGTACAAGACGGTGCTGAAAATGGTGAGAAAGCTAAGTACATTCTCCTGCTAAGCGTACATATATGGCTCCACCCATTTCATATATACACCATATCACAGAAAAAGTGCTTATGAGAGCACTTCCAAATTTGGCATTTCCCCGCGCGCATCTCCACAGATTCACCCACACCCGCAAAACCCCTGGACATTCCTGAGAGACAGATGTATAATTATCGCACATCTACGAGTTTATCACTGGTGATAAGGTGACTTAACCCTGGGAAAATGAGAGCGAGAAATGTGGCGAGAGTTCATTGTTGAGTGAACTCCACTCAAAGAATTTGCTTCAAGCGAAATGAGGGAATATTCACGAGCTTGGGTAAATCATCTTCAGCTCCTTTTTTATACCTGAACACAGAGGGAGAACATTTTTCATGTCTCGCTGAGGAATTACATGGATATGATGTGAGTGTTGGAATTTCTTCAAAGAATTATAATGCATTCCGCGCCAAAGGGAGCGTACTTTGTTAAGAAAAGCGTATACAACCATATTTTCTAACTGTTTCTTCTGCCATGAAAACCACTACATGGTGAAAGGAAGAGTCAAAAGTTCCTTAATCAAGATCAAAAAGCTGATTTATCACACTAAAATTTTATGAATAGAATCTTTTATACTGATTTGAAATTTTTCTTTCATCTTGAAATGCTTCTAAAACACTTTTTCGTGTCATCGTAAAATGATCTAGTGTATTTTCTGCCATGGTTTTGATGTTTGCCTTTGTATTGGGTATTCTCAGCTCCTGTTTGAAAGCACACATTTTATCAAAACAAGGTTTCGTTGAGCTTTGTTCAATCAACCATCGGCAATATTGCGGGCAGCATCCAACGTCACAATACCCTTGTATTTGCGGTGAAGTTCTGACCTTTCGTGAAAACCACAAATCAATATCTGTTGCCATTTCTAGGAATTGGATTCACCTACGCATTCAGAGCGGATGTCGGGGCGCCAAAAGTGGGAGTGCGAGCATCAATTGTTGATCACGGACCACAAATTGCGTCCAATTCGAGTAGCTGTGAAATGTTAGGCGCTGCAAAAGTACGGAGCCTTTATTATGTGGGTCACAGATTGAGCGTGGCGAGAGTGTCAAAGATGCGAGAAAGATATATGGCTTTAATTAACATACACATTCTACCAGTGCTGTGCAGAGTGAATCCTCATCCATCGTCACGAGATCGCAGTTGAGACAACAGAGTGCGGATTCCAGTGGAGCGAATGCTAATCTGTAAAACGGACTTGAGCTTATTATTGCATGCAGAGCGTCACATATTGAAGGGCTGTCGAGGGTGGCAGACCTCTTGTGCCTGCGTGCGGATGTGGTATTTGAAACATTCGTAGGGGTCGATGCGGTGGATTGTGTGGTGTGAGGCGACTAGATAGACGTGGTTGAGGTCTGCAAACAATCAGTAAATAACGTAATTTACTGGGAGTCTTCAGACTTAATGGGGGAGTCGCAATTTGCACTCATTTTCTCACAGAGTGTTAGGTAAATTCGCACCCAAGACGAGGGTCCCGCACACGAGGCATCCGATCAATTGACGGCACGGTAGATGATGTGAGCAGAGCGCCCAAATGAATTGTCCCATCTCATTTGCCGGACCCCAAAGGCGACAGCACTTCGGCATGGCCAAGACGATTTCTCATCTCCAGACGCAAGGCCGAAAATTATAACAATTAAGCGTGATGTGTTGAACCAGAGTAAATGTCATCGTGTCATTTTTTATTTTTACGATTATTATTATTACTATTTGCAGTGCCACCCCCCGTGAGAGTAATTTAGAGACACCTCACGCCATGGGGAGCCGCAGAAGCCACCCACTCATCACTCATTGCTCAACACAACAACTCATCAGTGGTGAGAGCTTTCCGCGGTTGCGGGTGTGGGGTTGTAACAATTTAAAATTGTGCTTCGGCGAAAATTACCCCCATTTATCCCTCAAATTGCCACCACTTCACACGCCTTCAATAGAATTGTTAGGAGTCTCTTGGACGTGCTTTAACATTATTATCAGCGATGCGACTTTCCGGGGATCCTCGCCGCACAATCTTCAACTCGGTCTTCACAACTGTCAGCGAAGGGGACAGAAAAATAATAAGCTCGCCTGTGCATTACAGAATTATTAGCCTCGCAACCCCTGCCAAAAGCGCACCCTCTTCTTCCTTCACCATGCGATATTAAAATGATAATTTAATGTTATGAAATGGGCAAAGCCCAATTTTACAAGTGTCATCAGTTGAATGCACACGGAATTAGGAAAATGTTCCTCTCCTAAATCCACCCTGTCATGGAAATGCAATTAAACTTTCATATTGCCATCAGTTGCGTTGGAGAATGAAGGGGTCTGTTTATGGCATTTAACATTATGTGTGTGCGGAGCTTTAGGCATGAACTTTCCCATTACTATGAGGGTGCTATTGCAAAAGTTATGACTTCAAACGAAAATTCTACAACAATAAAAATGAAGATAATTTTATGCTCAACTCCCACATGAACTTCCATGGCGGCTCAGTTAGAGAAAAACTTGCGCACTGCTTAATATTTCAAAGTTTCCGCCAACACTGAAAAAAGAATGCAAATCCCGCTCCGTTAGAAGGCTATACATATATATTTTATTAGGTATTGATGCCAAAGTATCGTGCAAGCTCTCTTCAGAAAGCTCAATTTATGGAACTTTATTCGCTGGCGAAGGTGTACGACTTTCAATTATGCAAATATCCCAAGTTCGCCTGCAGCTTTCTAAGCTTCAACCCTATAAATGCCACCATGTAAAATGGATATTACGTATATGGATGTGCTTCGGCAATATACAGTCGGATGCATTGTAGTGCGAAGCTTCACTTTTGTGCCAGAAGAACGAGACGTACAACATCACCCTGGAAAGTCAATTGCACAAAATCTATATGGAAACTGATGCCCAAGCGTGGGTGGTATTTTTGCGAAACTCCGCAATAAAATCCCTCACCATCCTGCGAGTGTGTATCCTTGTCAACAGCGGAGAGTGTAAATTCAGTTATTAGCGGCGAACGGGGTCACTTCGTGTGCCAATTTGCAAGTTATTGGCTTATTTATTGATGCATATTTAGAAGCTAAGGGTGCGATCTTATTGTTTCAAACCTTCACCAAAACTAAGCGATATCTTACTTTTCAATTGATAAGAAATTTTGCCGAAAACAGTCTTGAATCATTCTTTAAAAAATCAAAAACTAATGTTGATCGAGAAGAGCAAAAAATGAATATGCGAATTCTTTTTAAACAGAAATGAATCTGATCTATTTGATTTATCTGGAAGAATGAGTGCAATTTCATCTGAATGGAAAATCAATAGTAGAACATTTATAGTTGCTAACATTGAGTTGATATGAAATTCATATTAAAAAAAAATTATTTTTTAGCTTTCTCACATTTCTATTTTCACCTACTTTCGCTCTGAAAACTGTGTTATGATGTTTTCCTGAATATCTAAGCTCGGGATTTAATTCGTTCCTTGCATAAAGCGAGTCAGACTACATCAAAAGCTAACATTATTAATTCTTTTTATACCCATTGTACAAACCGTGCGATAAAGTCAACAGCTTTCACCATTCGGAGATTATTTCTTCAGGGCACACATGATAATCCCGATGGCAGACAAATGTCCATGGACTACATGGAAGAGCTCGTTTGTGAGAAGTTCTGGCGGAGCACACAAAAGAGATTTATTGAATACAATTTGCAAATTAGCATTGTCCTATAGTGAAATTTATGGATTTGGCAAAACTCCTTAGCTCCAGGAAGAAAGTTGTGCGCCTCGTTCAGCGCCATTTCAGCGGAGGCAAAGTAACTTTCGTCGGCAGGTGGAGAGTGTATTTCTTCGCTTTCATATGCACATTCGCCGCGCCCCGCCCGCCGCGTCGGGGAAATGAAATTTTATTTGAATTGTGGGAAAAGTGGTGAAAACGGGAAGAAAATTCAATTGGCAATTTTCAAGCCAAAAATGTTTGTAAATTTGAGAGTTCATAAAACCCACCTTTGGCCCCCCGAACCAGGGTAAGACGAGGGAAAGATTAAATATTTCCATACAAAATCATCTCATTTTTATCGCTCCGCCACTGTGATGTAACGCAGCTATTTGACGGTGTTCGAGATTGTTTGCCCTTCGCAATATGCCAAGTAAATTGAAAATAAACTTAGCAATTTATTTAGGAAAAAATATTTCCCTCTCTAGCCGGAAAATGATTTATACATGCAAACACTGGTGAATAAATAAGCAACTGGTAAATAAATAAATGCTAGAAAGTAAGTGGAGTCATAAATTCTTGCGCTACATGCTTCTTCCTTTGATATTTCTTCAATAGGCGAGTGGCTCCTCGAGTGACACTCCAAGATATTTGCCCCTTCAAACTCCAAACTTTGTCCGCTGCGGTGTTTGACTGTCGAGTGTATCAGAGCGCACGCAAATTGGGATTTACCTGGTGTGTGTTCTCACTTCCCGAATAGAAATTGATTCATACATTTTATTGTCTCTCATCCCGGGGATTAAAAACTATTGGAAAAATGCATTTGTCGCTTCGGGTGAGTAATTTCAATTTTTCCCATAACCTTTTTTTTCACCCACGGCTTTTAGTGTAAATGCATAAATTGTGCGGTTTGCTACATTTGGGGTCGTTATTCATGGCCCTTCGTCTCTCTTCCTAGCTCGCCCAGCGAATGTGAGAGAGAGGAGAAATGTATGTACATGAGTGTGTAAATATGAGAAGATTCTTAGGTGATAAATTGAAATTTACCGCCGGTATAAATTTTTATTTCCATGTAATACCTTTCTCCTTCGCCCATTGCTTTAAAACTTTGGATTTAAAGAATGATTCCAGTGGCTTAGTGCAAATTATCACAAGAACGCCACATGAGGCTCTGCTCTCGAGTTGGCGGCGAGCACGAGCGCGTGGAGAATGTTCGGGAGTGGGTGAGAAACCACAGAAATGCGGTATAAAATCAAGATTTATTCCCATCCACCTTCGGCGCCATGGTAGATTATCATGCAATAAATATTGGTTTTGCCGCGTGCATGTGCCTCAAGGAGGCGACAGGGCCGCCAGAGTCCATAAATCATCGCGACGCCCACTGTTGCAGGACGATGACAAATCCTGCGACAAAAAGTCCCACGAGGTGGGGCATCATTTTCGCCGCATCATTGCACGGCTTCTCGCCAGCGACGCTCCGGCAGACACACACTTCAATCTCCCTCCCGTTGCGATACTCCGTGTAACAGCCGGAAGTAGCAGCTCCTTCGTTCTCAATGTTCACCTTCGTGCAGAAGTATGAAATGTTCTGCACTGCGGCGCGGGCGGAAGGCGGAAAAGATAGAGAGACGGCGATGGAGATAATATTAAAATGTGTCACTACTGCGAGACTTATCATTTTACTGTCTTGCCGCTGGCTCAGCCCGAGGCGCACGGCGCTTCGCATTGTGCTCAAGCTGGCTTAATTGGCCGTTAATGCTTCAAATTGATCGGAAAATTGCGCCAGCATTGGAGAGAATATGGATAAGCACTCGCTCTGCAGAGGACGAACACAAAATTTTTCCAGGAACAATTACACATCTCTCGTATTTTTGCCTTATCGTGAGGTTTTTTTAAAGGCCATACCGCAAAAAACACTCAAGATTTAACAACAACCCAAATTGACACTAGACAAACGGCAGATTCCAAGAAAAACACTCATAAAGCGGACATATGGAGAAAAATATAAAAGCGTTTAAGCTGAAGAATTACAAATTAATTTCAAATTAGACTGAGAACAAGTGGCAGAGCATGAAATAGGCTTTTTTTTAATAAAATCTTTTCGCATTTAAGGCATATTAAAAGCTATTTGCACCGCAATTTATGCTACAGCAACAAAAACACACTTCACTCTAAATATCAACTACAATTAAACCTATTTAAAGTGTGTGAATAGCAAAATGAAAAGCAATAGCGCTACAAATCAGAGACTAATTGAACATAAAGTCAATATTTAGACAAGAATATAGACACATTTTGTTTAAAATCAGTGCTTTATAAAAAAAAAAGATGCAACCACTTCAGGCAGTTATTATGAGAAAGAAGAAAATAATCAGAATCGATAAAATATACAGAAAGACAGCATTGTGTCATAAATTCCTATTTCCATGCTCTGTAATTTAAATTAAATATTTCACATATGATTACAACAAGGCGCAAATTTAAATAATCAATTATTTAAGCCCATCAAAAATTAATAGAGTTCTTTGGCAATGCTTTCGCTTAATTATGAAACATACAAATGTTTTTATAATTCAGCGAATATTTCAATATTATTCAATCAAATTGAAAAATTTCCGCGTTGTGCCGCAAAACAAACAAAGCCCCAGTTCTTGGAAATGAAACCAATCACACGATATTATGTTATTGTGTTTGAATTAGAACACCACGAGAAATGGGTAAAAATAATAATAAAATCCCGCATTGAATTTAATGGACCGCAATGTGATATGGATAATAAAATCCATGTGTGCAATTATGGGTAATTATTTTGCTAAACATGATGCACATTTTCGAAATACCACATCGTGCAAAATCAATAATGCGATTTATGTTGTGCATTTGTGTTGAAAATCTGCGGTTTGTCCTTTGCACGAGCGCGAGCTTGAGCCACAATATCAAGGATTACAGTGTGCACTCACCGGCCTGATTGAAGGAGTAGGTGTACTTCACACACACGTCGCCCGGCGCCAATCTGCATGCGATGTGCGTCCGATCGTTCTGATAGTGATCCCACATGTACTGCGTGTTGGGCTCGGTGCTGGTGTCTGGCCAGGAGGAAGGGAGAGTCAGCGAGAGGGTGCGACAGGAATTGCAAAGCTTACTTGTCACCACCAGCGGATGCTGGCAAGGAATTCCGCTGGCGCCGTTGAGAAGATACTCGCACGTGGCGTTCAAATATGTGCTCTCGGCGTTGTACTGCGGCCCGAGCCACGTAAAGCGGAAGCAGAACCTCTGATTGGCAGCCTCATCCTCTGCAAGTGCGAAGCAATCACTTAAAATCTGCCCTGATAATGAAACAAGGGGCGGAACGCACGAGAGGCGACGAGGAGCGATAGTGCGACGCAGAGTAATGGCAATATCACAAGTTTATGCATTGCAAACTATTCTCGGAATGAGTTGGATGAGAGAGGAAGTTTCTATTGTTTCCACATGGAAGATATCACAAGTACTGTCCATAATCAATGAAACGTACTTCACACTACCAAGAATTTCACCTTATCTTATCAAAGACATGCCAACAGCCCAAGTGTCTGCTTTATTGTGCCGTACAAATCTAATTTGTTCTCTGTACAGTTTCCATTATGCCAGCATTGGTAGAAGTGCAGTGGCAAAACAGAGGTTTTGTATTATGACGCAGAGAGCATCTATTCACCGAATACTGGGTACTAATCTTCCCCAAAGACATTCGAAATTATCACAAACAAATGAGCCAATCATTTAGAGATAGAAGAACCAAATGAGTATTCACGCACATGTATTCAAGTCTGTTCTCTTGATATATTACTCTGCGGAAACCAATTAAAAGTTGCGAACAACAAAAATCAAAAAGAACGACTTGATAACAAAAACTATTTTCAACTTTATTCCGGAACCGACTCACAAATCTCACTTTACCGAAGGAAGAATGCATCTGAGAGGCATTTGTGCTCTTTTGCGCACAGGAGATTTCTGCAATTGAATCTCTGAGAAAATCTTTTGCTATTCCTTTGAAAAGCTCGGATATTTTTCTGAATTAAAAGCTTGTAGTCAATTTACCGTAAACAGCCAGCTTTCTTTCATCGTTTTGTGTCAAGGTCTGATATTTACACAATTTTTTTTTCACATTGCAATTATGAGTGTTTTGTGAAAACTCTGAAAAACTCTTAATGAACGATCAGAGTTATATTTATTTACTCAAATAATGTACTCATTCATTGCAGACAATTTTGTGTAATCAAGCGATATGCAAACTTTGAATAATGAAGTGTGAAAGCATGAAAAGGAATCATCAACTATTTATTTACTCAATTTGTTTGAGTTTAACTTTTCCATTCAAGAACGACTCAATCAACTGGCCGACAATTTAAATCGCGAAAACTTTTAGTCGAGAAGCCACTAGAGGCGCTGGCGCGACTTATCGATTTAGGTTCCGGAGAGAAACAAACTGACGTGTCGGCTGTGTCGGGGAAATTAGTGAAAATCGCTTGAAAATCTCACAATCCCGGCAAAATGCATACATTTCTGACTCGCGGGAATTCCATCCTTGCTTACACGCTCAGTGTGTTGGCGTGCTTGACCTTCTGCTGCTTCCTGTCGACGGTTTTCCTGGACTACCGGACAACAGCTGTAATCAACACGAACAAAGTGATTGTGTGAGTATTTCCCTGAATCTCTGGCCAGCAACTCACCCAGCAGACTTATAAGGCTTTCGGCTATCAGATCCATCCATTAAATTGAGAATTGTCTTTACTTTTCCGGCTGCCTTCAACCTAACCTCACTCTGCTTGTTTTTGCAGGAAGAACGTCCCGGATTACAGCTCTTCGAGGGAAGTGAGGGATCTGGGTCACCTCACATTCGACCTGCACACGGATCTGAGCAATCTCTTCAACTGGAACGTGAAGCAGCTCTTCCTGTACCTCACGGCTGAGTACAAGACGCGCGAGAATGAGTTGAATCAAGTGGTTCTCTGGGACAAGATCATCCTCAGGGGTGAAAATGCCGTGCTGGATTTCTCTAATATGCACACCAAGTACTACTTCTGGGACGACGGAAACGGCCTGAAGGGCCACCAGAATGTCACACTAACGCTGTCGTGGAACATCATCCCCAATGCTGGTCTCCTGCCCAGAATATTCGCCATCGGGCAGTATTCTTTCAAGTTCCCGCAGACCTACACCATGTCCCCGGTCTAGGCGGGCTGTACTTACTAAGAGACAGATAAAAGCCTCAATTCCAAACATGTATAGGACTTTATTTGCCAACATTCAACATCAAAAAGGTCAAAAATACATCAAAATTGTGTTCCCGGAATTCTTAAAAATGCTCAAAATGCTCCCGGAAGATCTTTGGAATCTGCTCAATCATGTCACCACAGAGAGCGCCGCGGCCCTTCTCCTTGAACGCCTCCTGGTTGCAGTGCTTGGCCAGGAGACTCGCGGCGAAGCACGCCACAAGCGCCGGATTTGTTTCCTGGCTGCAATTGAGCGCCCAGCAGTAGAAAGTGGCCAAGGCACCACTCAGGAGGTCCCCCTGGCCACCGCAGCGTCTCGCAGAGCCTCCTGGAGGAAGCTGGTACACCTGATTTGTCACAGTGACGTCGTAAATCTTATCACTGAGCCCCTTTTCCAGCACTGTCACGTCCTTCCCGATCAGCTCTCGCAATTCTCCAATATCTTTTATCTCCCCGAACAGCCGGCGATACTCCACAGCATTGGGCGTGAGAATTGCCCCGCTCAAGCTCCTGGCCAGAGAGAAATCCAGTGTCAGCAGATGCAAAGCATCCGCATCCAGGATCACTTTAATCCCACTGTGGCGGCAGTGTTTCAGGAGCATCGTCACGTTCTCCAACACTGCGTGATCTCTGCCCAGTCCTGGACCCACCACAAGCACGTGAAGCCGGTCCAGCCACTTCTCCATCTTCGCCATGGCGCAGTGCTCGTCCAGCACCGGATGCACTATCAATTCCGGGCTGTAGGACTTGATCACAGGCGCGGCGGACTGGCAGCAGAAGACGTGCACCAGATCGGCTCCAACGCGCAGAGCGCTGATGCCGGCGAAGAAGGGTGCCCCCGTGTACTCCACAGATCCACCGACGACGCCGATTCGCCCTGCCTGGCCCTTGTGAAGGTTCGTCTCCAGGCGCGGCACCACCGCCTTGGCGCGTTCCAGCAAGTCCGTACTATCACTCATTCCACTGTGTTTCCTGGGCAGCACAGAAACAGCTGGAAAATCCCTCCAGAGTCTTCCCGGAGCGAAATTGGCCGCCTTTGACAAGCCGACGCGCATTTTCCTCACTGACGACAGAGCTCTCTGTCGGTCGTTCTTCAGTTGGTTTCCGACGCGCTCCATCGCAAGGAGCGGAATTATTTTCCCGGTTTTCCCGCTGTTTTCAGGGTTTTCCACAGTAGAAATGATGTAAATTATGAACAGTAACTGATATGGAATTGTCGTGAATCTATAGTGCTTGTTATTATAAATGATTTTACTCGATTGTTTAATTTAGCAAAACAAGATAAAACATGCAAGACGATGTCACCATTTTGCACACTTGGAAAATTGAATATTCTCTTTTTTCTAGCAAGGATATCGACTTCAAGACAATTTTATAGGTAAATATCTTTTAGGGTAAATTCATTTTCAATTCAGTCCAGCTGATTACTCCGGGATAACTTGTAAAATAGTTTGAGCCTTTATTCTGTGATATGATCAATTCCTTAAGACTAGACAACTTCTCATGATGAAAATTTACAATACTAGTATTGGCAAGTTGAATTGCTTACGCGCCTATTCTAGTGCTTCATCCTCCGCTTCTCCTCGTCCCACATGCTGATGGCGGTCTCGTTGAGGTAGCCCCACCTCCACTTCATGTTCAGATTGTTCTCATCACATTCGTTCACGTAGATCGTCTTCTCCAGCGGGTTGCCCTCGACGCAGCGGCTGTAGGCGCCCTGCATGATCCACTGGTTCTCCTGAAAAGACGCTTGGAATTGAGTCTGTTGCCTTGCGAGGCGGGGATCTAAGAACTTACGGGATCGTAGCGGAAGTATTGGTTGCCGCCTTGAGTGTGACAGTGCCAGAGTTGAATTTTGGCGTTCTTTCCGCTGCTGGACACGTCCCAGCAGAGCTCCTCGTGCTTCTGACGCAGATCCTGGCGCCAGGACAGGGCCCACCACTGATTCTTCTGCGGCTCGACGTGATTCGCGGCGCAGGGAAAGAGGCCAAAGACTCCTCCATTGCCCACATTGAGCGTGTCAACGCAGAGATGAGGATTTCCGACATTCTGGATCACACCGTTGGCGTAATCTGGTGGCTCCACTGGTGGGTACTTCTTGATCAGATCGAAGGCGACTTCCTCCATGAACCACTTGAAGGGTTTGCACTGGAGTCTCTCACGGACGGCCTTCTGCTCTGAGAGATCTCCCGGATCGAGATTCCTGAAGTTCTCAGGCTTCCTCTCGTACAGATACTCCTTGTACTCATCCATCCACACCTCGGCCACTCGCTTGTAGTTCTTGGATACGAAATCCACCTTCCTGGGATTCGGCCGGGTGTCCATCGGCCCACGATAGACGTGACCGACGCGAGAGCAGGGAATGTCATACATTGCACCGCCACACTGCCAGATCTTGAAGCTCAGCTCATACTGCTCGCCGCCCCAGATGTCCAGGCCGGGATCGTAGCCGCCCAGTTCCCAGAAGAATTTGGCACTGATGGCGAACAGGCCGCCGGCCATCACGGGACTGGCGAAGGGCTCTGACGGATTGGCCTTGTCTTTCTCGAAGATCGGCAGGCGCTTGTAGTGGAACTGCCAGTCGAAGGCTCCGCGAGCGCCCTCGTCCTGCGCCCGGTACTCGAAAGTGTCGTGTGCGATGACGTCGATGAAGGGACAGGTGCAGACTTTGTAGTTCTCCGCGATGGGATCCAGCAGCGGCGGGAGCCAGTTCACATTGGCCTCCGTGTGGGAGTCCAGGAAGACCAGAACATCGCCCACAGCACGCTTCGCCCCGGCCAAACGCGCTCCTATCAATCCCATTCGCTCGGACAAGTGAATGACCTTCACTTTGGGCAGATGTGTCTCGAGATATCGATCCAGGGGGTCCTTGAGGAAGGTCTTCTCGCTCCCGTCGTCCACCAGGATGATCTCAGCTATCAGTTCGCGCGGGGATCTGTTCAGGACGCTGTACGCTGTCCTCAAGAGAGTGCTCCAATGCTCCTCGTAGAATGGCACAATCACACTCACCGTAGGCAGTTCGCTGTAGTACTTCTTCTCCTTGCACTTCTTGTGTCGGATGTCGGGAATCGATCGATTCACGGATATCTTATCGCTGAGCAGGGCGTTGAAACCGTTCGCGCGATACATTGTGTCCTTCAGATCGCTTTCCTCCACGGGCACAAGGCCGGCGCGGCCCTGCTCTCCTATGCCGTCCTTGGCGCTGTCCATCTTAATGAGGTCATAGTCGTGCCAGTCGATCTTCCTCTGGTGCACATTTCTGGGCGGTCCACCGAAGAAGGCTCCGTGGCGAGGATGGTCAACCACTTTCTCTTTCCGTGGCAGTTCATTGATTGGCCCGGTTAAGGATTTGTAGATGAGGAATGTGATGCCAACGGCAGCAATGAGGATGAAAAGTTTAACAATTCGCGCTGAGTTTCTTCGCATTCTGCCCAAAAGAAGACTCTGCAAATGGAAGAGAGAAGCATAAACAACGTGGCATCGCTATCAATCATTGCCTATAAGCTTATCAATTTCCGGAAACCTGTACTGCTACACCTGTCACAAGCGTTGGCCTTCTTTTGGGGGCTTCCGCCGCCTCTTACTCGATGAAATTGGTTAATTTGATTAATTTACACATCCGGAGAACCACCCAAACACATAACCTCTCTGCTGTGGGATCAGGAAAGCCCTGATCTGCGCCTAATCCGACCCAATGGCACACTCCAAGACACCTACTGCACTCGATAAGCCAGAGGCAGAAAATTCACCTGAGAAGCAGTGGAAAACCATGGAACAGGTGCAAGACAACTTCGTGCTCAATGTGGCCACGTTTCGGGATGTAATTGCAGTAAAACTACCTTCTCTGCACGTTCTTCTATCACATTTGAAGTTGTGAGATAAAGCGTGAATCACAATTTTACGACAACAACACGGCAATTATTGCTTATTCGATGTGTATGGACGCGATGATGGAATGTTGCGCTTCTGTTTTGTTGACAAAACTGGCTTTTTCACAAATGTCAGAGTCAGCTGGGCGTCAAGTTCAAGGAAGTTCAGCGGCGGGGTCAGCGACCCGGCCAGTGGCGTAAGCAACGAGGGGCGAAGTGGCAACTACCCCAGCATGTGGGTGAGAATATTCTTATTTGACCTCATTTCAACTCTTAACTTTAAGAGAGAATTAGAGTTTTGTCCAGAGCTTCCAATAGTGAAGAAATAAATCAAATTGAAATTTTCTTTCGATCCCTAAATCAGGAAACTTGCTTTACTATGCGATCAGAAGAGAGAACATATTTCTCGCAAAACCACCTTCATTTCCCCCAATTGTAAATTGTGGCAACTAATTTGCTGATTATGCTAAATCCACGAATCATAAAAATATTTACTCAACATAGCGAAAATATTGAAATACAACACCATTAATATTTTATACTACTGCATTAAATTAATTTCTTAAGAATGATGTCACTCTTAATTTGAGTAATTATACTATGAATTGTATCAGATAAAAACTACGCCACTGAAGACGAGAATTTAGAAAGACCGGCCGGTGTTCAATTGATACTCGAAGAGAAGTGTTTGTGCTTACCCATCTCCACAGCGATTTGTTAGTGTACTTCAGGCTTTCGGCATCAGGGTCTATGATGTCCAATGTGTCTCTCTTACCTTGCGAATTGCTGCGTTTTTTCACCATATTCTCACGACAATTACCAGCGAAAGACTGTAAAGAAACTGACTAAGGAGGTCAGGAAAGTGTTGGCAAATGCCGGCAGAACTATGGATATCGCATTGAATTAATTAAGACACATCAGCGACTCTTCCAGCTGTGATTTATTGGGCAAGGCACCTGTCCCAGGCACTTGATTGATCCTCCCCGTGCGCCGATAAGCGCTAGTCATTGAGCAAAAACGTGAGATATCCCATTTTGCTGGCGTGTTTCACGGCACTAAGGATTTTCTCGTTGGACGCATCGCCACCGGCTGTTGTGGCGATATTCCAGAACTCCTGGCTCTTCATGTTGAGCTCGAAGTGCTTGCTGAGCTCGTCGCACTCCTCCTCACAGCAGTCCATCCAGGGCAGGAAGTGAATTGTGACGAGAACTCCGTAGATTGCAAAGCGTGAGAAGTGCTGCAGAAAATTCTCAAAGCGATAAACCTTCAGTCTCTCGTCGTTCTCGTCGCACTTCAGGATGTCTGTGAGGCACTTGAAGAGAGACGTGTGATAGTAGCGCAGAAGATCCTCCCAGGACTGCTCTCGAATAGACGCAGAGGTGTTCATGTAGAGGAAGAAAGATAGATCAAAGGCTGGCGATCCGTATCGCACTTCCTGGAAGTCAATCATCCGCATGTCGAGAGGCTTGGAACCCTTGTCGTCGTATCTAAATAGGACGTTGTTGCGATTGTAGTCTCCGTGTTCGATTACGGAGTAAGGATAGTCATCGTGGCGAAGGAGATCGAGGAGTTTTGTGGGGCACTTGGAATACTTCCTTCGCAGCACCTCGAGTTCTTCCTTCATTCTCCCAACATTCAGCTCAGGACGTCGGTCTAAGAAGTCAAACAAGCGATGCAGACCAACTTTGTAGTTAACATCATAGAGATTCTCCACATTGCCTTTATCTTCGTAGACAAGAGGAACAATTCCGCTGACTAATTTCTTTAACTGAGCCTCATCGGCCACTCTCATGGCGTAGCTGAGCGCATGGTACTCTCCAATCGTCTTCAGCATGAAGAACAGATGATCAGCATCCAATTCCAGCCTCGAAGTGGGATTTCTGAAGCCCAATGGAGAAATATTCTTCAACACGAGAACGGATTCGGGAATGTTGCTCAAGGAAGGCACTTTGCCATAGTAGTAATAATAGACCTTTGGACACCAATTTCTCCACTCAATTGCCGTGTTTCTCTTGTCCAGGAACGCCCCAAAAGTTGGGATGACCTTCCCGTAAATGTACACCTCATTGCCAAACTGCGTGAATGACTTGCTCGTAGTGCGAAAGTCCTCAGATCCCTTCATAAGCTTCACGATCATCTCATGAGTTCTCTTCCTGAAATAAAGAATGTCATTATATCACTGAGTTGAACACTTCCGCAAACTTACTCAAGAGTCTCTTGACATTGCACAATCATATTTAATTTGAAGATAATTGCCATAAATCCATCCAGTTGGGGCGATGTTGTGGCCTTGCTCTCGACGAGACTGCAATTCCGGAATTCATCGTTATTGGCCAGGATCAGTTGTGTCAATTCTCCCTCGATGAAGGATTTCTGCTTCTCCACACTCGTCATAGTGGCTCTTCGATTGATTAATTGATATCACTCAGCAATTCACTTAGAAAGATTAGATGAAAAACAGCCTGAATTTGCACACGTACAACAAACGAATGATAACAAGTGTCACTCTTCCGACTCTCGCGTCTAACGTTCTCTCTCAATTCTCAAACCTCTCAACTTTTCTCTCGACACTCTCAAACTCCGTCGGTAAAGCAGGTTTTCGCGCTGTTTTCAATTGTTCAACACTAAAGAAAGCGGGATTTCGATATATAATTAATTTCATTTGGCACGAGAAACACTTAGCGAAGGAGAAATGCTGATGTTTACACTGCTTGTCTGTAGCGAAACTATCAATTATTTTAATGGATTGCAAAGAACAAACGAAAGTCAGCAATTTCTTGCAATAGAAGGAAATTGTCGTGTCGCTAGAATTGTATAAAATATTTGAATCCCTTCATTCCATGAAATATCGTTCTCGAATCGTATAATTTGATTAGCTGGAACTTAAAGCTACTAAAATTTTCTAGACTGCACTATAAATATGTTTCTATGTTAAGTAATTAATTTATTACAAATATACATAAAAAGATTTACAATTTAACTCTTCGCCATTTCAGTAGTCAGTGTAGCAATGAAGAACAACCAAAACAACAGATTTCTGGTAGAATCGTTCGGATGCAAGATCCGTTTGAGAGAATCGTGACGATAAATTCCTTTCATTTTTTGAGCTTTTTTAATCAATTGTTTAACATTCTTCCAGCACTTTTGCGGCGTTTCCCCTATTTTTCCCGATTTTCCAACTTACTCTAGTTTATTCGCTTCGCCATCTGCAAATTCTGGAGGTTTGTAATCTTGTAATACTTTAAGTCCTTAAGATATAAGATAATTTTCCGGTCAATTACAAAATGGCATATGCGCTCAAGGGACAGGCGATTCGAATAGGGGTGGAAAAATACGTACAAACAATGTAATGGAAAAGGGAATTTTGGGCTCTCGCGCGACTTTTCCCTCATTTTCTTCTCAATTCACTGGGATTCCCCCGAAGTTTGTGTGCAAACTGAGGAGCGAATGAAGGTCTCCTGGGAAGAGCAAGAGCAGCAGAGGAGAGATGAGGAATTTCCGCGAAGAGTGGTTACTCTCAATATATTTATTGTGACATGGAAGAGATTTGACAAAAAAGGGAGGAAAACAAAGATATATTGCGATATATTTTATCAGTACGTGTGTATATTTGTACTTTATGTTCCTGGGGGGTTAAATTTTTATAAATGGGTGGGGGCGGGGGAGCGACGGATAAATTTGGGCTGAAGTGCGAGGCTCAGGGTTTGGGATGGATGGATAATTTATGTAAAGACGAAAAAGCAGCTTTTGTACGAGGAATTTACATAACTTTTCCTGGTGTAGCTTAACGCTACTTCCAATTCTCCGTCTAAAATTCAACAATAAACCCCCATCTATACGGAGTAATTCCCTCAAAAATGTGTGTGGCGAGGAGTTTGCCGAGGGCTGTGGCGGTGTAATCTAATTTTTAATAAAACTGCACCCTTTGTCTCACTCGCCACGGCCACAAATAATGTCTCTCCCGATGAAGTGTGGGTTGGGGAGCTTTGGGATGGAACAGAAGACTCATGGCCCTAATTATGAGACGCCTTTTCATTATATGTCTCGGGCATGTGAGGGTGGAAAAATGCGGCGTGCGGGTGCTGAAGAGAGAGAGGAGGAGCAGGAGAGAGAGAGAGGCCTAAACTGGGCAAAAGTGGTCAATCATTGTCGAGTTTTTAGCTTCTGGTACTTGTTTATTAACTTTTCACGTACACCCAGACTCGCCATCCGCCACCATCACCCGAGTTTGCCCCGTCATTAACACGAGAATATACTTTGAAGCTTTTTGAAGTCTCATTAATTAGTTGGCACTCACCATATGTGTCCTTTCTCTGCATACCCACACCGTCTCGCACTCACACTCTCATGTCCCCGTGGGTCAGCTTCCCCGTCCGCGCGTCCTCGCCACTCTTCGGAACCACTTCCTGGACTGGGATGATAAATTGCACGCTCGTTGTAATAAAAATCTGTTACACTTCCACAATTAAAATCATTCACGATGACTTCGTTAGTGACTATATATGTGGGCATACATATGGAGAGGGGCCGAAGCTGCAAAAAAAGCACTCAAAGCTCCTCTCAGTCCGTCGAACCATTAAGAGCGTGGGAGTTAAGCTCTTCAGTCATTAACGCATCAAAAATTACTGAGAGCGCAATCATATTAGCAAGCTCGTTTTATTAAAACGCGTGGGCAAAGATTTTCTTGTGCGCTAATCATATTAATGTAGGGGAGAGCGGTGCAATCTCGACCACAACGTTTTATTGAGCAAAGTTTTTATGCATTATGTAAATTGCCATGCTTTGCGCTGATTGTTTATGTAAATATGCACTCATACAAAAACTGCCAACATAATTTTAAAATTACATTCATTTACACATATTCTGGTGAAAATCTATATTTCAAAGGATTTTAAAATTATATAAATGCAAGTATAAATGTCATAAATACGATTATAATTAAAATTGATCATTCAAAGACGGGAAATATTAAGTAATTCTAAGTATAACTTTGAGGAAAATACGTGAAATATTATTTTATAAGGGTATCTTTAGTGAAAACTCTGAAAGCCTGTTACAATAGATCTGAGAGAAGCCTAAAGGCAAAGTGACTTAATATTTTCGCTCTAATCTGCCCCAAATATCCCTTCGTCTGGTTCCAATATTGCACTGAATTTTGAAGACAAGGAATTGTCTCTTAATAATCCCTAGAAGTTCACATGTGCAGATGGTCCTTTTCACAGCACCCCAGAATCTGGTCAGAATTCTTTTGTGAAGAGCTTCTCGTCACCGAAGAGCTTACGTTGGAAATAGTAGCAGAAAGCTCGGCATGAATGGGACTCATGAGCATGCATACCTGTGGAATAGGAATATGAGGGAAGGAGTTCGATTGAAGGTTTAACTCCACGCATTTGCACGTGCGCTCGAAAATGGCGTAAAAGCCTCATCAAAGGCTTTGGGGCTGCACAGGGTATTTAAATTTTAAGTAACGCCGCCCAGAGCACGGGGTGGCGGACTGTGAAAGTTTTAATGTGTATGCGCTCCTCTTTTTCACGTGAGCGAACGGACCTGTGAATTGCGAAGTGTGGCGAATGTGTGACAAAGGAATGAATTCTTTATGACGGATTAAAAATGTTGCCACACGCTGTGAATGACGCTTTTGACGAGCAGTTAAAGGAACTCCAATTTCCTCGTATATTTCAAACGGCGGCGGCGGCAGGAAGGACGGGCGCGAGTGGGTGGCGGAGAGACTTTATTGAATTTTCACAACTTCTTAGCATCGTCCCACTTCATTTTGCGATCACTTTTGTCGCGCAAGACACACGCTGCGGTGTGGGGGTTTGTATAAAAAATTATTTATGGCATTCATTGTGCAATAAAGGGGGGCGAAATCTTGGGAAATTTTGTGTACAAAATGTGTGCTAAGGCGAAGCTGCGAATTGCCATCTTTTCCTCTCCATCAGGCGACAGAGTTGAGCTTATCAGTGCCATCAATCATTCAAACTTGGGAGTGTGAAGTGTAAAAGCGCCACTTCACATGGTCAGACTGGGGTTTTTTTGCCCTGAAAAGTAAACACAATCTTTAAGATTTGACTCACTCAAAGGCCGGGCAAGAGATCAAGTCGGCCTTAATTCGCTGAACGAGCAAATCTAATTAGGTAAATACGCGTGGCGTCAAGCTCTGGAGTGGAGATTCTCTGGAGATTGACCGGGGAACAAAAGGGGCGCTTTGGCTGAAGGTAGAGAGAAAAAAAAATTATAAGGTGAGAAGAAAAATCTCCCAAACAACCTGAAAAGTTGAATTGCCCGCAGCTTTTCCAAGTGGGTGGGTCGACTGTACGGTTGGCGGGTTGGTTTTGTGTACATAGTCTGAGTTTTGCTTCCTCGGCCACAAATGAGGATAGAGAAAAGCGGGAAAAATATGAAAGGAGACGAGGAGTGGATGGACAGAATGTGGGAAACTTTCCATCAATACACAGTTGTGTGGCTACAAAGGATTTAAATACCAGGAAAATAATTTATATGTTCGCCTGAAGAGATTTTTCACCCTCGGGCCGCACCCACAGTGCGTACGGGATTGTATGTTGCGAGATTGTATGTGATTTGGGTAGGAGAAATTGCGAGTGACAGCGTCATTCCGTTAGCCACTCGCATTTTTCTTGTTAGACATGCCGCAGAATAGCAGAAGAATTTCTCAATCAGTCGGAATATATGTACTGTGGGCGGAATAGAGTGGGTGGGAATTTGTATTGAAGAGGCGGTGAGCCAATTTTGAAGTTACACTAACAATTGTAGCAATGCGGGAGAGCGGAAGTGTACAAATGGCAGACGGCAGAGAGTAGAGAGAAAGAGTGGAACAATTTTGGAAGCTCACAACTGGGGTTGTTTGTCTTAAATCTTGAGTGACAAAACAGATTATGCTCTGTGTCTATTTTCCGGCACTCACTGAAAATCTGACTCGCTATCGCCGTGCTTTCGCCCCCAGGATGCATTTTCCGACCAGGAGAAATGGCAAAATGCTGCCGCATCCAAAGTGCCCACACCCAATTATTCTTATACGGGATGGCAATTGCTGGAGTTTTAGAGATGCTATCGGTTAAATTGCGTTATGTAAATTACGTTTTGTCATTCAGAATAAAAAGGTAGATTAGGTAATTTCAAATTAAGACCGAACGAGAAGGGAAGACACTCCGGAGATTGTCAATTTCATTAGAGGAGAATATTAAGTTTTTTAAGACCATTTAACTTGTAAATATTTTCAATTAAGGTGTCGTGAGAAGTTTCATCTTCGTGAAACCATGAATTCTCATGCAATTTATTAATTACTCAGAGTCAGTCTTGGCCAATTATGAGCTTGAAAAAATAAAAAAAAACCAGGAAACTGCAGAAAAATTGATGTGATAGCTTAAAAATGCGAGTCAGGAGTTTGAGAAGAGCATCAACATTGCCAACCATAATTTTAATTTCACTATTTTATTAAGTAAAGCAACCCTTGTGATAGTCATTCAATTACATAGCCATAGTAATTCCCTTTGAGTCTCACACAAAAGATCAGACAAACATGTGCGAAAAAATGCAGTGATGCTGTACGCGTATCTTCTCAACATTACCCTATGAATTTAATATCCTTTGAAATATCATGTTATTATATTTTCCACTCTTGTGCAGTTCTGGAGAAGTGAACGTGTTGCAGGCGGAAAAGGTTTTAGCACACACGAGATGTACAAAAATAGGAATTAAAAGGTGAAGTAAATTTTAATAGAAGCAGTGAAATAGAAAAAAACCTCATTCCGTTTGTGAGTTCTGCAAATTCTTATACTCATTGCGCTTTCGTTCTTCCCCGAGTTCCTCTTTTTCTGGGGCTCCCGCAGGAAAAAGAGCGCCCTGAGTCTTTATTACTTCGTGATGCAGCAACAGCGTGCGGAATAAGCTTTCGGGGGCTGCGGCGCCGGAGGGCGAACCGTCCAACTGGGTCTTATCCCTGACACAGTGAGACAATATGAGGAGGGTAAAAAGAGTGCAGCATGAGGACTTTCCAATGGTGTTGGTTGTGCGCAATATAGTGAATTTGTTGCATCACAAAATTGTTGTTTGTTTGCAATTAATTTTCAACATTTCGTGCCAAGAGAATTCTTACCCCCAACTTTACTACTATTGCTATTGTTATACCTTTCGCTTTTCTCGTGCTAGGGTTGGCGAGGGATGTTGAGCTGTGCTTAGGACATTTTCCCTATTATATGCGAGCAGAGACTTTGGTATAAAAAGCTCACATATTTTCTCTGTTTATGAGCGCGTGTGAACGGCACAAAAACGCTCCATTCCTCGCGTTGATACCGAAATCTCCATCAGACTATCATCATCATTTAACCACCTCCTAAACATGGTATGTTTTGTTGTGTATCCTCTTTGTGCATTGCTTAAAGTTGCGAGGCCAGCTTTGAGGGTGTGCGCTGCCAAGGGAAGTGTGCGATGTTGAAAGCTCAAGGAATGGGGAGTGAAATAAAACGGTAACTATTATCACGTCACCTCGAACCCTTCACGAATGGGGGGAGAAGACACCGCTTCCACGGCAGTGAATATGAATTCCTCAGTGGAGTTGTTATGTGGAATTCCATATGATGATGACTTTGCCTGACGAACATTGCAACTGTGTTATATTTTAATTACAATGTCACCCATCATTTTCATAATGATTCCCTCACCGACGCCCCCTCGTCCCCGCCATAGTCTGACAACTCTTCACCATTGCCAGTTGACAGCCGAGTGAGGCGGTAAATGTACAATTTTTAGCCCTCCTCATCCTTGCCTTGCCTTGCTGTGGGGTTCCTTCGAGGGGGAAACAACTAGTGCGAATTTTCCAAATACTGGGGATGTTCATATTCAAGCTCTCTAAGGACAGCCCATCTCTTAGAAAGAACTTCAAAATCATCGTGTGAAGTGAAGAATTTTATGGTGTTGCGACAAAAACACTCAATTTGTATCATTCACAGTAGATTAAATAACGAACTGATTATTTATGCATCTGAAATTTTCAGCTAATACTACTTAATGAGCTGAATCTGTGAAGTTTTTACCTCGTCAGATTGATTGAGTTGGTAAATTTATTTAATTTTGGTCGTAGTAAACACTTTTTCGAGTATGTTCACCACTTAGAGACTAAATGAGTTTATCTGCAGCTCGGAAATAGAGCAATTTAATGGGTAAACCAAACACGGAATTCAGGATGTGTGATGTTGCTTAGTTGTTTTCCCTTTGAAGCCCTTTTTGTCTCAATGCCGTATTTTTAGAATTAAGGGAAAACAATTCCCCTTACAAAGTGAAAAGGAGAAATGGAATAGCAAAAATAACACCAAAGAGCTGAGCTTTTGGCTGGAGAACAAACAACATGGGCTTTTTGTTACTTTGTCGAATTCAAAGGGCGTGGGTGAGAAATCTGCGACACCGACAAAGGGCCATTTCTGCAGGCGGCAGAAGCGGAATAGGGCACTCGCGCGGGGATTTGAGATAGAAGTGCGAGGATGGCCTTAGTCAATGGGTCTCATAGATAGAGTGCGACAAGAGGTGGGAATAAGAGGCCATTGTCTTTTGCTAAATTCTATACTTTAAGTAAAAGCTACACTCACTGCGCCTTGCCGCTGAGAGAAATCGTACGACGCATTCAAAGATTGTCTGTACATATGTATGTGCGGGGTTATATATCATGACTGTGTTGTTGTATCTCACGGGAAATTATTACAATTGAGATTTCCTCTCGACACTCAACAATCCTTTTTGGAAATACTCGAATGGTGCTCGAGTGGAAAGGCAGAGTCTCCCTATAATATCACTTCCACTCCCAGCAAGAGCAATTCAGTTGGACTGTGAAGGGAGACAATTCACCATTGAAATGCTATACGGAGAGTGGCAAAAATTACGATCTCACCGTGTGAATGATAATCGTCTATTTCCATTACATTTTCCAATAAAACACACGGAGTCGCATTGAATTGGCCACAAGGTGGTTGTGCAACATAATTTTCATTCTGCCAGCATTGATTTTCCGCTGGGATTTAATGCTCTCTTGTTCGTACGTGGTGATGTACAATGATAGACTCAACAGCCCTCAAAAATCATTGTGAAAAGTGTGAGAAATTCATATTTTTACGACAAGTGAACATTTATGGGTCTGCAGAAGAAGTTACTTCAGCTGACACGCGAGAGAATTGTGAGGTTCACCTTTTTTTCTCCCTGTCTACCCCAAAATTATCCCCTACTTTGCTGTAAATTCACTATTTTGCTGACAAGTGACTTTTCGCCCAGAGGAGAGCCTGGGTAGCATCATGAAATCAGCCACCAAAGCAGAGAATAAAGCATCTCTGCGGAAGTGGAAATCCTCTTGGGGGTCGTTCGGAACCACTCACAACGAGTATTTTCACTGGGGCCACTGAAGGAACTGTGAGGACTGCCTCGCCACTGTTGGTTCTTCCTCGAAATTTCTTAAACCCATTCTCACATTTCTCTATATTGAATTGGCGTGAGCCCGGGGAATGTGTCCAGTGGAGAGAATGCGACAAAAAGGAGCGACAGGCGCAAAGGGAAGGACGCTGGATGAGATTAAGTACATCACTTAACTATGCCTTGCTTTTTCTTGTGATCTTAAGGGAATATTCCAGGATATTCTATCAAAGTGTAATAAGACAGCTGCAGAGATTCGTTTAGGCTTTTCTTAGTGCGTCTTATATCTTCAAGCTTATGCCATTACTTGCTAAAGATGCTGTTGAAGAGAGTTTTGAAGAAAAACTGTTCTGTCACAGTGCAAGAATAATGGTTTGACTTTGTCCTGGAGCTCAAGCAGAATTTTTGCAACAAACTTTTATTCGCTCCTCTAAATCTATTACATTGCATTGTGTTTCGTACTTACCTGAAAATGTATTGCTTTTCAGTACACCGTCGCTCTGAAGTGTTTCTCCGTTGATCCAAAGTCCATGAGATGAAATTGCAAATGCTATCAAAGGCGAGAGACACTCTGGAATACTTTTATTTGGAGGAAAAAAATCTCAGCGCGTCTTCCCAGTGTAAATTATCCCCAGAGTGAAAGAGGAGAACCTTTTGTATAGATTGACAACGAATGCTCAAGACGTGCAGAATTTCCTCGTGTATATCTTGCGGACTGGCGGCGGGAGAGAGACACAAAACACTTGAGCATACATTATTTGTTGGATACAATGCACAGGGCAGGGCAGAGTCTGTCTCTTCTGCCGCCCCCACGCCATATAATAGGATATACATTTTCGCCTCAATTTCATCGTCAGATGGAAACTTCACATGATAATGGGTGGGTGACCCACAAAATGGGTAGCTTCTTTGCTAAATCGCCAACCCCATCTCAATTCCCATCGAGATGGCGCGGGCCACAAAGGAAATCTGTTGAATAAAAGATTGTGTGCGATTTACACAAGACAGGATGAGATATGGAGTGAAGGATTTGGCATGTGTTGCGGAACTGAGTGGGGAAGCTGAGAGTAGGAATTTGACCATACCCTCGAACGCAAGGCAGAAGATATTCCTTTTGCACTTTTCGCCTTTTGTTTCTTACGCCCCTCGTTAAGTATTATTTATCGAAGATGATTGCCATGATTTATGAGCAATTCCCTCTCTGCTTGGTGAGGCAGAAGTGGCGGCAATCCTTGAGAATGCGAGAAAAAGCACATCCACCCTGGAGTGACTTTGAGAGGACTCTCTCTCTCCCGGAGAAGACGGCAGAAGCTCTTTGCGAGATAAGTTCCACTTGCAATAAAGTGTCTTACGCAGAGATGATGGCGGGGTAAATGGCACGAGGGTTGAGGCCAAAGGGGGCGAAGGAGGTGACGTGGCGTAATGAAAACGGCATAGAAAATTCTTCTGAATCTTTTATTATTTATGGATGATATTTTATGGTGCCTTCTACACACTATAAAGACGCCTTTTACATCCCCTATCATTGTTTTTATTTCTCCTTATTTACAAAACATCCACTGGTAATGGCATTTTGCTTTATTCGTCTCCCACCATTACTTTTGTCACTTATATCGAGCACGAATGAACACTTCACTCTGTGGAAGGGCTCTTGGCAAGGTTGCCATGCATCGATTCACTTCTTCGCTCATTACATTGTATGTTATTTAATGTTTATTTACAAAAAAAGAGTTATATCTTCTCACTTTATCTGCCTTTGTGACAAAGAGATGGATTTGCGTGAGAAGAATGTGATTTAGCTGTGTAATATAAACTCTCAGAACGAGCTTCTTGCCAACGCATCGACGCGGGCTAAGTTTTAATACTCTTCAGTTAACAATTTTCAATTAAACCTTAAGCTCCTTACACACTAACAGTATATATCAATTTTATAACTGAGTATTACCCTATTAGCTATGTACACAAAATCGATGACACGAGCAATGATTCAGCAAACTATTCTCTCCCGTACAGAACTAAACTTTGCAGTAGTTGTGATTCTTTTTGTATATTTCCTTAATCATTTATTCCTTCTTTCAGCGCTCTTATGTACAAGCTTTCCGTTTCACTCTAGCCAGAGACAATCTATCTCCGATTCGTTATAATCTATTCACTATTCGTAATTCAAGTTGTTATGCATTTCTTCGGGGTGGGTTTTGATTGAAAGAGAGTAAAGGAGAACATTTCTTATCCCCGCCTCGCCCCTCGTTTTAGCATTTCTTTTTAATTAGGTTAATGGCAAGTGTTATTCTATAGGATGGAAATTCTTTTCTATATATTCTATTCTTTATATTGGAAGTCTATTTGGCACATTTATCCTTCGTCCTATAGTTTATTTACTCCATGTCCATGTCTTTCTTCATTTACTTTCGAGCTTTTAAAAGATATTAATCCTTTCTGCCTGACTAAATCATGCTCGGCCGAGATTGGGGAGAGGAGTTCGCATTTCCACTGTTGAGTGCAGGTGAATTGGAATTCGAGTGGGAAGATTGCGAAATGCAAATGTGCGAGAGGTGCAAATGTGTTGACGGTAGTAAATCACATACGCGGGATAAAATGAACATATCAATACCTTTTAATTATTCACAAATTCCCCGAATCGTACGCGTTCACCTGGCACAGCGTCGATGGAGTCAATTTATTCTCAGTTTTCAGGCGCTTGACTCTCCACAGACTGAGCGTGAGTTTGGGGTCGAACGGTTTGTCTAGCCGATGTGAATTTATATGCAAAGGGGAAGCTTTTGGCGGGTATGAAATTGCAATTGGAGGGCGGCAAAAGCGGTGTAATTGTGCAGAATGTGCACAGAAGGGCCGATCAACACCCAATTTCGATATGTTTAGGTACGGGCTTCGCTGTTGCCAAGAGGGTTTCACTTTGATGGCTAAATCTGTCGAAACGTCAAGAGAACAACAATTGAACATGTGTAGCATGATAACATACGATTTCTTGGAAATTTTAAAAGCCTTTCTATGGAACCAGAGGTGTTTCTAGCTAAGATACATATTTGGCCAATTGAAATAGATTGAGATAATTTGATTATGTAAAGAGAATTTCATAATGTGCATGTGTAACAACTGAGAAAATATAAACTGCTTAAATGATAGGCAAATTTGTCTAAAATTACTCTAAGGGAATTATGTAATTACAGGTAAATTTTTCGTGTGAGGAAAATAACTGTGCTCATAGTTTGTGAGCCCTTAACTTTGGATGATCGGCGAAAATTGTCACATATTTCACTCTATATTGCATGCGTTTCCCCGCAACCTCTCGAAAGCTCCCCAGTATGTTCATACATACTTCACGACACTCTCGAGCGTATCGAGAATGCAAAAGAGTGGCGACGTGTGTTCAGAGTGGAAAATACTTTGAATTTTCCATGACGGTGACGAGGTGGAAAAGTGCAGTTTATGATGTAAAACATTCCGAGCGCACTACACAAAAGATTTTACGCTGAGGAACATATATCTTAAGCAGGATTCGAGGGTAGGGCGCAGTGAAGACGCGAATTGAACTGGTATTATCGTGGGTATGGTTGGGGTGTTGGGATTCTCACTGGTTTGGCTAGACGTGGAGAAGAATTGCACATGCGAAATAATTTTTGCATGTCATTCGTTGTTGTTATAAATTTATGCTCAACAGTGGATGAGAGCATGATAAACTTTTATGCATCATCCGCGACAGATGATATAAATAAAATGTCAGCGGAATACATGTGCAAGCAGGAGACACAACAGGGCGCGAAATATGTAAATGATGCTATGTTGTGTGCATCGGCGGTTGTTAGGGGACAATTCTAGAATCCGGATTTTGCACTATGTCGCACACTCTCACTGGCTTCCTCTCCGTGCAATATCGAAATTTCTACATTCTTTTTTGCCACCATCAGTCACATATTCATACCCTCCGGATCATATTTATATGGACGTGCGCTCACATACAATTCCAGAGATAACACAGCATCGCGAAAATCTAACACACGGCTCTTCATATCGTCATAGTTTTATTGGCCAACCCGAAGCCCATTGTGGGAATCACGGTCCCTCCCCAGCAACCTACAATTTTATAGATTTTCCATCCCGACCCGGCGAATGAGCCTCTATTCAATTCTCACATGGCGAAAGAGCGCGCACATCGTATATGTTGATGGAGGATGAAATGTATAAAAATTTTCTCCTCGTCGGTGTGTTCATCAAAATATGATTTGCGCGCTCCACACTTTGTGGATGGGCGAGAGATGCCTTTTTAAAGCGTACTTTAGCCACCCCCTTGTCATTCACTCATCATTCGATCGGTCTGCCATTCCCCCTTGCGGTTGCCCTTCGATGTGGGGTGGCACGACGAAAAAGCGTCGGGAGCTGCTGATTTTATAACCCGCACACATTCACAGTGCCACACTGTGCATTCATGCGATGTTTTAAAGTGGAAATCTTTTCACTCTCCCTCCCCAAATGCTCGCCAGATAATGGATATAATTTTTCTAAGAGAGAAACGTCGGGGTGGAAAAAAAGCATGGACGTATGACAGAAGTGCTAGAGCATGAAATACGAGACTCACTCGTTCCAATTATCGCCATCCAGTATTACATCTGTTTCATTATAAGGTATTGCAAATACCCATTTCACAAACTGTCACTATTAATATAATCATCGTTTTTTTGCATCAGTTGCTCTGCTGAACTATATGAAAAGTATTTATATTGCAGCTATCACACTCTAATTATCGTATCAGCCCAGCCAGGAATTGTGAGAAGAGCCATGTGGCCTCGTTATTTAATACTGCATAGCAGTTGTAGGGGAAAATCCGCCAAGATGGTGATATTCTGATCGCATTCGCACACTCTCAACAGGTTTTATTATGACTTTTTTATTGAGTCTATGCATTTGAATCTCAAGCACCATGTCAAGAAGATCTGCTGAGTCCGTTGAACTCATGGTAGAATCGCTTTACATTTACTCTTCAATTTATTTTGACTTTCGCATGAGTGTTGCCCTTCTGCTAGCCCCTCTTTCCCCTACTCCATATGTTTACATAATAATACAGGGTAGGAAAAAATTAATTGCTGTGTGTGGCTGAAAAATCCACAAAACCAAAATCCGAAATGCATTACCTAAAACTTATAATGGGCGACTGAAAAAAGAGGGCAACAGTTAAAAGTATTTTATTTCGCTACCACAACATGATAGCATATTTTCTGTGCATTAATAAATGCCACTGCAAATGATTTTTTCACCATTCAATTGGCTTTGAATATGTATAACGTATTTTCCATTCATGCTGAGGCCGAGGTTTTTGTGTTCGCGACCAAACGTGAGGTGTTTTAAATGAAAAATTTTCTCTCGTCCATGCTATGGTGGAAAAATTTGCATTCATGTTGTTCATTTGATGTTTGGCAGGATATGACGTTAGAAAAATCACAATGAATTTCAATTTTCAGCCATGCCCTTTCATAGTGAATTTCACTCCAGCGATATGTGGTAGATTTGTTCTATAAAAGACTCGTTTTTTTGTAATCTTTGTCCTTGAATATGGTACAAAATCACTCACAAAAAGTTTGTATAGTGGAAATTTTTCTAATTTACAACTAATTGATATTGATTTCCTCTGACCACTTTGGTATAAAACCGAAAATATGATCATCTTTCGACGAGGTGTTATATTTTCGTTGATATAGTAATGATATTGGTTTCTGCAATTGATCTCATTCTTATGTACAAAAAAGTGAAATATTTTGCACAATTGACCATGTTGCTGCTATGCGGCTGCATTGATATGAACATACACTCTTCTTCATACTCAATTCATTTCATCTCTCTCTAAGGTTTTTCCCATTCGTCATGTGTATTGCATGTATTGTAGAAACTTTTCACCGCCGAAAGAACTCCACTCTCTTCACCGCTGAGTCCTTTTTTGTGAAATTGAGAACTTTTACCATAAAACTTTGATCACAATAGGAATGGCACCCACATTGGAAAAATATAGTTTTCACACGCTCTTCTTGTATATTTTTCTTCTTCCTCCCGCTTTTTCTCACTCAAAGTCCCAGCACAATACTTTCTTGGCATTGCCACGACATCGTATCATATAATAATCATTCCTCAGACTTCACACTTTACGGACAGTAAATATGAGTAAGTTTCCTCGACAGCGCGACTGTGAGAAAATGGGTGCTGAGGATGAAGAAGGAAAAAAATGTGAGATGAAAAGAAATACTGTCTCATTGTCGTCATTTTGCAACGATGTCCTATTTTTATTATAACGAAGTGTCAGAAAAATTCACCCCTAATGATTTCACTTAACAAATGGGGTGAACACTTCTCATTCTATCCTGTCCGGATCTTGCGCCCAGCAATTGGGGATGTGTTCAATGATGTTGTCAGCTCTGCAGGAGTCTCAATGATGCGGAGGTCGTAGTGATAGAAAATAAAGAACTAGCGTACATCCATAGAGTTGTCATGAGCAAAAATGTTGTTTTTGATATCATCATTTGTGGCAAATTGGCACTGGAATTGCCCCGTCCTCTCGCCGCCTCTGCGAGTCCTACACACGCGTTGTTATCGTTTTCCCATTTGGGGCCATGTGAAATTTTTCCGATGGCGCAAAACACGAGGGAAGAGAAAGAGAGTGTAAAGATATAGAAACGGAAAATATGAAATATGTTATGTATCGCTTCTTTGGCCAGAGCTGGGCAATAAGCTAATTGGTATTGAGTTGTGGCTTGTTTTTCTATGCATACGTTAGTTAAATATTGGCAATAAATACCTCCGATGAAATTTGTTTGCTCATCATCTGACGTTACACTTCCGGGATGAATTTTAATTTCTGAAAAATATATGAGATTGTCAGAAATTCAGTATCTTGATTACTTATTCATGATATTTACAAATGGGGCAGAGCGAAACTGAAAGAGAACTTTTCTTTCCGTAACACATTTTCGATTCTCAATAAATTTGTATTAATTGGAATCAAGATTTATATATATATATCTCCATTAAAACCCCTAAAAGCTTGTGCGCTGAAATATTTATATCCTCGCCAACGAGCATCATTCTTATAGAAATGTACGGAAATGATGAGATCGATCTAAAAATCACTTTAATTATGCACAGTATACAATTTCATCAATCATTATATTTTCTCTAATTTTTTTTATATATTTTTTAGGTGAATAATGAATTAACCTACTCGGAAACGCGACATGTGGCAGCCAAGAGAGGCATTTCAGTTGAAGCTCGCTCTTTCCCGTGGTGTTGGGCTTAAAAAGGCATAACACGACTTACCGTAGAGGCGAAGGGTGCCCTCGGCACGTCCCAGAGAGTTGGTGCTTACGCAGTGGTACGTCCCGACGTCCGTGTGCGAGAAGGAGCGAACAACCAGTCTCATGACACCTCGATATCCTGACCGTTGCTCCGTAATGCCGTACTTGGGGCTGAGGTTGATGTTCATCGGGCGCCAATGAAAGAGGTGGCACAGGTGTGTAAGTGGGTAGTTAGAGTGCATAGACAAATATGATATGTGAAAAATGGAATGGGGTGAATTCATGTGAAATTCAGGTGGCTTCCATCCAATTTCTTGTTTGTTTTTTGCCATCATTCCCCAAAACGTCCCAGCATTTTTCTATTCGCCCCGAAGGTGAGTGTGCAAGTGTACGTTTGATACACATATTCTACCCCGGAGGCGATGTAGTAAATCAGATGAGTTTTCCAGCTCTCCAGGAAAGCCCGAAGAGCGTGGGGCAGATATGGGGACAATATTTCGATTTGCATTTTTATGGCTGTGAAACTCACCCGTCGAGGAGCATCTCCGGCCGGGGTTGACCCGATTCCAGGCTGGTGGTGCTCCCGGTAAAACTAGTGGCTGGCATGCGACCACCCTTCAGCCAGTACGACACGGGCGCCGGTGACGCTTCGACCTGACACTCCAGCTGCACATCAGAGCCCAAGGGGGCGCCCAATAGTTGGCTCGGCGCTCGAACTGATGGGGCAACTAAAATAGAGTTTTCGCATGAGAAATTCTCACATATTTTCCACTTATTATTTGTATATTGCTAAACTTTGCATACACAGTTTGGAGTGGAAGAGCGGGTGAGAAAGATGAAATATCTCTATTAATCTCATTCCCGGAGGGGTCAGAAATTGTACAGATTGTACCCACGTAGCAGAAGTCCGACTCTGTGTTTATTTTCGATCTGAATTATTAAGGAAGACTTGCATTTCGATATTTAATAAGCTCACTCCGGGGAAAAATTGACAGATCAAATCCCCGTGCTCATTTATACATGATTTTCATGTTTACCGTGCAGATTTTGTCACTTCTTAAGTATCATCTGACCAAATATTGCACCAAGCTATGACGTTATCGTTGCGCTGACGTGAATTTGTTACTTGGGAACAGATTCAGATTCGGTAGAATAGAATCCTTTGCCTGGCATGTTCTCTCATGCATTATTACAGTTAATTAAATTTTATCACAATCCAAATAAATGCAATGGATAGGAGTGGGTGGGATTGTCAGATGGGAAAAAGGACAGTCAGAGATTTCGGAAGATAATTGAACATGTGCGCTCAATCGTCCTCTATTTTATATGCTCACGGGCACACTGAGAATGAGGGAAACCAATAATGGAGCAGTCATACAAGTTCATAGAGGGTGAATTACACAAAGAATACTCACAATGAACGCTTAATGAAACCCTCTTGGAAACGGCGGGTGGAACATCATTGGAGGCAATGCAGAAATAAGCTCCCATTTGACGGCGCTCCAGTCGAGACAATTTTAATGATGTTCCGTTGTATGAATCAGCTGAAAATATGTGTATGTATTGAAAAAGGTATCTATTTGCAGCCTGAGTGCGGGCGGTACATTTAATTTGCCCTTATAATGTTGGTTGGGAAAAAGAAGGAGGTTGATTTTGTGAAAAGCATGATTTGTGCTTAATTGAGCTTTCGATGCCACACTGACCGGCTTGTACGCTTCAATGCTCGCTATTCACGCTTTCTCTCTGGAGAGTTTTATGCGCGAATTTTCCTCATGCTTCGTTACACCATTTATTGTCAAATCCCCCACGCGCGTCCACCACCAGTGTAGGAGGCTTCGTGGAGTATGAGGAGGAAAAAAGTTAATTAAAATACCAAATGGGATGACAAGTTGTTTGTGCACCTTTACACTCGCGAACTGACGGTTCGTGTGCTTTTATAAGCTTTATTTACAGTCGTATTCTTTTTTTTTTAGTAAAAAAAAACATACACACATTTATTTATTCCCTTAGACGAGCAGAGTTGAATGGCGTAATTGAAAATGAATTCAGGCATTCAGGCGTCCTGAGGGAGTATCAAGAGAAATGATATTGTTTTACACTGGCACATCCCCCGGGAGAGCGCTTTTCCAATTGCCCATCATGCATACGAAATATTCTAGCTGGATATCACTTGCGTTTATGAATTGACACGGGTGATTATGCATCGCGTGGCACGTCTCTGGCATTGTCTTTTTAATATCAATCGCGCACAGCTTACCTTTCACAACCTCTCGACTTCCAGGCTTCTTTAGAAGAATAACATCGCCATCCTCTCGTCTCCATGTGACTCTCGGGATTGGATTTCCCGTGGCACGACACGTTAATGATGCATCCTCTCCCTCTTGTACGGCAATATCCGCTGATGACTCTTCGTTGATTATATCCGGAGGCACTGACGGGAGAGAAACACAATGACAATTTCAGAAAATTACGTGTTAATAAAATATTAATTTCGGTATAATAAAATTGGTGCAGCATTATCATTTTTCCCAACACTGGCGAGAGAGCTTTTAGTCTATAAAATACATATCATGTGTCTGTATTGTTGAGGCGCATGACCTACATCGGGGGCAATCTGTGTAATTATTACGTTGAGTGAGCTGAGAAGATTTTCCAATTTCAGATGGAAATTGAGCTAATGTGTTTACAAATTTTGCAGAACCAATTAAGAGAAGGACTTCAACATTAAGCCTCAATGTGATACTTTTGGGGCAGAATTTACGTGATCGAAAGAAAAGGTGGGCGGAGCCTACAAGGGGGTGTGACGAAGTATTTTGACATTTGAAACGTTCTTTATGCGAAACCAAGAAGAGGGTGAATTTCAAAGCGTTCAATTATTTACCAAATAATTCTGTATTGCTTTATCACAAGGCTTTGACTGTGCAGTGAATTTTCCACGCTGTGTTTTTAATTCCACGCTAGGGGAAAACACACAGAAACTTCAACTCTTTTGAAATTCCACCGGAAGCTGAGCAACTACCTGACTAAATACTTTGGGTTACACCCTTTCCTCACAAGCGAATGTTTACTCCATTGGCAATTCAAATAGCAGATGAACAAAAAAGTGATATTGGAGCTCTCAACAGTCGCAGAAGAGCACACTCAAGCGAGTCTCAAATATTGACTTTGACGCAAATCTAAGAAATTGACTGATTGCAAATTCTTGATTCGCGTCACTTGTTTCAATTCACCGAAAGAGCGAACTTTTCCCCACCCCAGCGCGCTCACCCTTCGACGATATTTTATTATAGCGAATGATTCGAGCAATTTATTTTCATACACATTCATATTCCGCAAGACTATATAATGTCATTTCCGTCTGGCACTTGCCACTCCCACTCCCATTTTCCGGATTGAGGGAAATTTTATTCCCTTTTCACACACCGCGCCACGAAGTTATAAGAAGCCAACCGCATCGCACATCAAAAATTCACCCACGCCAACGCTGAACGTACGCGTATAAACTATGTGTATTCGAGGGTGGGCTCTGATTCGCCCTCAGACGAATATAATATCATTCCAAGTGTTTTCCGTTTTTGGGGGATTATTAAATTTTTAGGGGCGAATATAGAAAATCTGTTGACAGAACTCTCCACAAGTGAATTCAATCAGTGAATTGAAGACGCCGCGCCAACACGCTCGATAAGTGCTATACGGCAGGGATGAAATTCTTTTATTATCGATTAGGATTTTCAATTTCATTCCGCCGGAATTGCTGACTCCCTGACGTTCCCAGCGACACTCTGAGTGTGTTCTGGTTTGGGGTGGGAGTGCTTAAGAGGTAAAATGGCAAATACGGGGGAAAAAATTTCGGAAATTGTACCACGTTTTCACTCTCACAGCCGTTGAATTTACTCAGATTCCCAGCCCCGCGCCGCCAACGACTCGATTTGGTCCCAAACACACAAAAAGTGTTTAACTGTTGGCAAAAAGCGTTTCAAAACTCGTTCAACTGATGATGCCCGTCCCGAGTGCCACATAAAAATTGGGTTGAGGGTGGCTGTTTTCCAGCGAGATGGCATTCTCGGGGGTGAAGTGCTATGTGTGAGTGTCATACGTATTTGTATTGTGTGGGTTTTTGGCAATGCTGAGGATGCTCGGGCCTCGGCCACACGGGGTGAACGTGTCATTTGTGAGATGAAAGTTTAACGCCAAAGCAAAGCCAGGGAAAAGGCTAAAGGTGGTCCTGGTGGAAGTGGGAGTAATGAACACTATAACCACCATAAAAGCAAATTACCTTCTGCAGCACAGCAGAAGCGCACACAGACCGACTGTGTGACTCAGTGGAAAGCTTGACCATGTCAAGTGACACATTTGCCAATATACTTGTGGCTATGCTAAAGAAATACGCCAGCGTCGCGACGCCAATGATGAGCTCAAATGGAGAAATTCTCCCACGCCTGAGTCAACAAAAGTCGACTGGCAATTTGGCAGGGAGGAGAAATGAAAGGGCGAAATGTCATCAAGTTGTGTGTAGACATTTTTCCGCTGTAAAATACACACATTCCCATTGGTATTCGCTTTGCAGACTATGAGAACAGGATGAATATTATCGAATGCTGGGGTGGTTGGCACAAAATGGGTGAAGATGTTGAAAGAGAGAGAGAGAGAGAGAGAGAGAGAGAGAGAGAGCTAAAAAAAAACCATCCCAAATGTGTGGTGTCGTCTTGATGTTGTGTAGAGAGCGCGTCACACAACTTTTATTATATATGCAAAGCACTCATCGCGCGTCGTCTGCAAAGTTTCCTCCTCTCCAGCACACACAAAAATTGCCAGAATCTTTCAACACTTGAAACCACCCCTCCTCCACACCGCACACATATTTAAAGTGCTATATATCGGGTTTGCGCCAAAAGGGATATGAATAAAAATTTTCACTTTGTGCCATGGCAATGAAAAAGGGTGCCAAAGTGTATTACTTGAAATTTTATTGGGTAAACAGTCATTTGAGTACTAGAAAGGGAAAATTTGGAAATCGGCTTACAATGTGTGATTCTGGTTGCAGAGTATTTATTGTTTCAAGTGTGGCGACGAACATGTTGCAGGAAATCGAACCAGCCAAATTTTATCTGTTTAGCGTGTTTATTCACCCTAAATATATCGTTGGAAATTCCAAAGAGTCCATCTTCCGGTTTGAATACACTTGAATAGAACGATGTGCAATTTTGGAGGTCTGCACCGAACGATTTAGTCAGGCCAAGAAGAAAAGATTGACTTCTATTGGAATCAAACAGAATGAATTCCATATCCTAGATTTGTCTAGGTTTTCAGAGTTATCAACCACGAGCCTAAATCCCATTGGTTTAAGTAAAATATTGTTTTTTGCTACAACAAAAAGAAGGGTTTCAAGTTAAATACATAAAGGGCTGTCTAGACCTCAACACCTTAAGATACCTGTCATTGTTTTCCTGCCCCTTTCAAAGTCAATAAACATAAGCTTTCCTTTACAGCCCGCCGATTTATTTTGAAGCAACGCATCATTCATGCATATTATATTATGTTTATGCTCAACAATATAAAATGTTTGCGCGGTGTCGCAAAGTGATAAATCACACAAATATACATGAGAAATTGAATAATATTTACTGAAGAATCCCACGGTCGTGTAATCCACCGAACATCCATAGCTGCCATTCATGGACAATGATACATGGATGGTGTGAAGAAGAAGAGAAATGAAGAATGAAAGGGTGGTTAGGAAGTGGAGAGGGTGGAAAGTGGATGGCAGAAGGTGTGACGAAAAATATTTTCATTTCCAAACAACCATTTGAAAGGGTCAAATGGCATTCACAGTTTTTCCAAGCCCAGGAAAAGGTGGCAATCGAAATGGCAAATGGATTTAGAAGGGGTAGATAGATTGGAAAATCACTTCGATTCCTCTCTGCTCGCATACACACAGAGAGACTTGAAATGTTGAACACCGGAAAATTGGCCAAAGTGCCTGTTTGACCCACACCATGGGCCATTTTTCTATTTTGTCTCTCGCCCGAGAAAAGAATGGCGTGGATGGGATTGTGTACACATGCAGCCAACAAACCTTGCACGTCGATACATCCAATTTGCTTCTTCATAGGGCTAGAATTTATTTGGCACATGTAGCACCCCTTATCAGATTCTCGGATTTGCTTGATGCGCAATCGCCAGGTGTGCATGTCTTCGTGGACAACGCTAATTCGATTGTTGTGTGTCACAACTCGTCCTTGTAGTGCCAAAACTGTCTGATCCGATGCTCGCAGCCAGCCGACCTGTAATTACAGAAGGAATGTGACAGCGTCAGCAAGAGAGATGCCAATTCACTTCAAAGGGATAACGAAGGGTATTGTTGATGCTCGCCTTTCTCATCTGATATGCGTGAGCGTACAAAAAATTCTGGGCAATCACTGGAAAGCTTGATTATTATGAGAATCGTAAGCGAGAGAAGAAAAGGGCTTCTGGCTCTCACATTTCCTCAAGCCCACGATGAGGCGGTAAAGCGTGTGCATTTTCACAAAAAAAAGAGGAGGAAATAAGAATGAGTTGGATCAAGTTTGGGTAAAAAATATACCCGTACAACAATACATAAAGCGCGTCCTTTTGCCGAGAAAGAATTCGCATTCGTATGAAATATCATATGGCAAAAGTTGGTTGATATTCACGAAATGTAGCACAAGAGGAAGGAATAATGGGAGCCAGTCGAAATTTTTCAATGTTACTGGAAATCATAATAATTTTATGTGCCCAGAGAAATATTCCACGGATCCACACACACACACACACCCACGCACACATTTTCAGTGGGATGAACGCGCGTTCCATTTACCGAATTTTTATCGAAAGCAACCTCAAGTATGGACATAAAAACGTATGACTAACCTTATATCGTCCCAGATTCTTCACTGAGCACGTGAGGAGGGCTTCTCTGCCGGCTGGAAACGTCACGTTGGCAATTGTTCCCTCAAATTCGGGTTCTGGTTCAACTCCTTGCAAATTAATGTCTGTAAGAAGGGAATTGAGAGAGAAAAGTATGTATTTGCACGGCGATGAGGATAAACTTTTTATTTTATTCATTCCACCCCTGTGCAGACTCACTTAAACGATTCACCCATGAAATAAGAAGTTGGCTGGAGTGTAGGAAAATTCTCACATTTATGTGAAAGGCGCGCAGAGTGTGAGGAAGGATGAATTGAGGAATTCCTCTGGTGCTCCCAAGAGTGTTTCAAAAACGTAATTTATATAATAATCAAGGAGGAAATGTAAAGAGGAAAGATGTAAGAAGGGATCTCTTTTCATCAGTGATAATAATAACAATTTTTCCATCTCTACTGTTCCATGGGCACGCCATTCCACCACTCACACGCTGTTGGGCTTTTAATAAGGCAAAACGAAACGGGCTTTTGGGAGCTTTTTGGTGTTCTTTCCTCCTTTTATGGGTCGTCTTTTGGCTTTTGTGCGGTTGACTGAAAATCCCCAGGGAAATGCAATTAAATTATCGTTGAGTTACTACTATTTCATATAACATTTAATGCATGCTATAGCTGGCAAAGTATAATCATATCCGTTTCGGTGCTTCACTCGCCCGCCCACCCCAAAAAATGTACATGGCGAACAAAAGAGAAAGTCAGGCAAACCACCTTGTGGATGAGAGATACACATTATATTTTGGAAGTTTAGTATAAAAGTCAACCCCTGGAACAATTTTATTTTCCTATTTAATGCCCAACATTAAATAATTCTCGTGTAGCAATATTCATAATTTGTGTGTTGTGAATACTTAATTGCTCGGAAAATTCTGCATTTAACCTGTTGTATTGCGTGGCATGAGTATATTTTCTTCCATGGCAGCCCATTTAGACACAGAGTGTGTATATATGGCGAGAAAGGAGAATGGTGAGTGGGTTTCCATGTCTCTTGACTCTTCTGGCGCCCACACACCAAAACATGGGCGCATTATCAAGTGGAGAGGCTCACTATATATAGAAAATTTTGCCAAACAATGCCAACTAGGCTCTGCGTGAAGCAATGTGTACCATTTGGGTCAGACGTACGCACAGAGATCAGATAGTATCAAGTGCTTTAATCTACACCGCCACCCCCTGTGAAATACATTGCCAATGTGGCCTTTTCGCCCACACCTTGAGACACAATCGCCCCAAACCCCACAAAAGCGCCTGTTGGGGAAATTGAATTCTTCAAATTACACCCCGTCACCGCCGCAGCAAAACTATTTGAGCGCCCACGAGAAAGTTGCCGTATAATTTATTCCGCATACACAGGAAATTATTTAATGAACCCAACAACGAATAAACACTGGAGAAATATGACACAATATCCGAGTGGTTTATAGCTAAATGCGTCCTTGTCATCGTTGGCAGGAAGCAATCTCGGATGCTCTCTTCTTTTTTACCTCTCGCCACGCTCATGTAACCTCCAACTCACTTTATCCCGGTTACAGAGGACGTCTGAGCCGGAGGAATTTCAGAGGCTACCGCAATAGATCCTTGCTTTTCATGGGCTTCTGATTGCCATAACTTTGGCAAAATATTATCTTCTTGTCACTTTATTTCTCCTAAAGAGCAAATAAAAGTCTTTTCTAGACATGATGCGAAATTCCTTCCTGAATTGGAAGCACATCACATGTTTCTTCAATATCCTACTTTTGAATCGTCATATTTAGTAACTTTTTTACACAAAAACACAAGATATATGATTGACATAGCTTAAAATGAAGTAAATTATTGCAGGAAAAAAGTCAATGTAATGTCTAATTAACTATATTTTCCTCTTTTTATTGCCACCGGCTGATTTTGCCTCTGCTCACACGTTTATTTTACACATCTCCGCTGTGGCACTTGTGAAAATGTGGTTTATGTAGCTGTGAAATGAGAAAATTGACATAGAATGCTGGTGGGATGCACATTGTAGTGCTCTGGGTGAACACATAATTTCTCGATGGGCGCTTAAAATTTCATTTGATTGTGGCACTCAATCGGAAATTGGGGAAAGGCGAGCGAGCAGGAGTGACATAAAACAACGCCTTTTCGCTGTATTTGGCTAGAATGAGAGTCCCTAATAAAATGTATTGTTTTATTAAAGGTCAGTCATATCCTGACGCCCATTTCATGCAAACGACTTTCTAACTGCCGTTCTCTCGCCCTTCATCAGGTGTGCTCTTGTGTGGCTATGTGCAAAAGGGTGGAAAACGGGCCGCACATGAGGAGAAATTTCCAACCGAGTCATGATAGTTAGATTTGTATAATTTTTCTTGCTCCCTCGCGCCAAGCCGCATGTCAGGGCGAGCGTAATTGATGGGTGATGGGCGGAAGATGAAGTGGATTTTTTCAGTCATTCGTATGAACTTTCGGGGCGCAGGGCATGAATGGTGGGTTTGGGTGGGTGCAGAGCATAAATTTCAAACCCTTTCCTCCGTGCAGACAGATTTGCACACAGTGCACTTTCATCGCTGATTCCACTACACTATCCTCATTCCACTCGAAGCTCCACGGGTTTTTTGGCGGGAAGTTGTCGCACAGCGGGGAGCTACATCTCATTTTGATGTTGTAAAATAAGAGGACACAAGCTGTGAGGATATATTGGGGATATGCGCGAAAGTAGCACAAGATGTATAGGTTTAAGATGTGTGTGCGGAGCTGAGTTAAGACGAGGTGGATTGAGAGAATGTATTTACATGATTGCATGTTATTTGTACACCGAATGAGATGATGTGATGTGAAATTTCATGAAGTGATTGCCGGGAATCGGGTGAAATTACGTGATTTGAAAATGTCTATAGCAGTTTGTGGGATAGTTCAATATTTGCCACTCTATGTAAAGACTGTGTCACTCATTGCGGAAGCTGCACACTTTCCGCGCCAGTCGGAGACTGTTGCTCCGCAATGTGCCAGTGTGTTTCCGTGATAAATGGCATGGTCTTGAAGCTACATAATGCATAGTGTTTATGCATGTCTAGAACATACCTTGCTGACTAGATGAGGCAGATGAGGAGGCTTGCAGCTCATGCACGAAATACACCGCCGACAATGAGATCCAAACCGCAAATACTCGACAAATTGTTGCCATTTTCGCAAGTGAAACTGCGCTGAGGCCTGCGATGACAGTGTTTTTCCCCGGGATTTGGTATTTGCTTCGCGCCAGATGATTTCACCACCAGGCGAGAGGCGGGCGAAGAACAAAGGAAATGGTCATGTCATCACCATTATTAACACTAGAAGTGACTGCAAATTCTGTCGACGAGCCCGGCGTCGCTTCCTGATGGCGATGTCGTGGTTGTTGTGCTTTGACGAGCTGTAGTTGTACACTTCCGGTCGCACCGAAACCCCTCATGTTACACACACACACACAACACAGCAAGAGACGTGCCGAAGACTTTAGTTGAGCCACTTGGGGATATGTAGCACCGGATTGCACGGTATTTAGGGGATGATGATACGGTCGTTCTCCTGCACGGCCACACACTGTGTCCTTTCACCACGTTTTGCTGAGCTCTCACGCTGATTCACGCTCACCTCTCGATATTTGCCCTCCGCCTTGGCTGAGAGGAGTGACTCGGCACGATATAACAGTTTAATGTATCGCCAATGTTTCGGTGGTGGGAAATGGGAAAAAGTTTTCCGTTGACAGCAACACACCGAAAATTCACTTCACTCCGTTACTTGTGGAGCAACTTTTTCATGGATTGCACAATTCCACGGATTATTACAAAATCATGAAGAGGCTTCTAGTTGAGTGTTTCACCCTCCTGACAAACTTCTCACATAGTATCTCTTCCCGGACGAGAGTACGTGCTATTCCATTATTTTCCTTTTCATTAAATTTCTTATTGCATTCCCTGAATATTTTTCCTCATGCACGAAGTGTTCGAACTACCGATAAATGTGAAATAACCCATAATGAGATAGTTTCCGAAGAGAAATAGAGAAAGAACTTCAGTGGGGAAATTTTATATAGAAAAAATCAGCGCACAATATCAATATCACAGCATTTTTCCGTGGTATGTCGAGATTGTGCGCTGCACACAGCAGACAAACTCTATAATGAGAGCTGCAACGTGACGAGATAGCAAATATTTTTTTATAGTAATTACGATGGTATCAGCAGAATAAAATGATCAAAAACGTCACTGCTGCTCAGTAATTATTTCAAAAAGCTTTTTCAATTTAATTGTATTTGCTGATATTGCTACACATATCAAGGATTAACACCTTTATTAAGAGGAATTACAATTTGTCACTCACTGTTAGAACTCACATCATTCACATGCATCATTGTATGCTGTCAGAATTGAAGTGAGAAATTGATTTTGTGGTCTCAAGCTAAGCACAAATCACTTTTGCCAATAATAATTCAACAGTTTCATTGAAAAACTCTTTTTGGAGCAAAATTAACTATACAATTAGGAAGTTCTTGCATCAATTCTTCAGCAAAACTTATTGATCATAATAAATGCAGAAAGTTTTGCTTTTCATTAGCAAAAGAAATTATAAGTTATTCGCCTGTTTAGTTTTTATTTATAATTTCCTTTCAGTAGAATATAGGAGAAAACATGTCCTGTAGACACAATATCTTGCGCCAAGCAGAAAAACCACCAGACTTTTCTAAACCCTCGTGATGACAGTTTCATCTTTTTGCTAAGATTCATCATCTGAAGATTCCTAAAAAATTCACTGCCCTCGTTGGAGCGCAAGTTATTTGTAAAATGATAAACAGGCCTGATATTAGTGCCATTATTATCAGGATTTCGACGCTCTGGCGATAAAAACGGTCGTGTCTCGAGGGTTTGGCGCAAGAAGTGCCATAAGATGTGTGTGCGGCGTGAGAGAACGGTGGTGTGGCAGTCACAGAAGGAACCAATGCTGGAAACAGGGGACGACAATGAGTCGATGGCTTCTTGTGGAGGAGTTGCGGGCAAGCAACAAGATACACAGAGCACTTTTTTCTCTCCATTTCACATTTCAAGTGTGGGTGAAGGAATCTCGACAGAGTCAGGAAAGAATTGAGCTTTCGCTTATTCAGAGGGAGGCGATTTATGTGCACAGAGTGTCTCTTCGTACGTTTTTCCGCAGTGCAGTGTACAAGGAATTTTCTTAATATCCTTCACAGATGTGCAACGTGATGCCATGGCACTTGAATTGTTCACCAGCGCTGCGGCATATGCATAAACAGGGAGCAGAAGAGTGGTTGAATGGCAGCCATGACAAGTGAATACTTTTTTATTCGCATAAAAAATATACAAAGCTGCAATTTATGGAAAATCCACCTCGGCAATTGATAGACAATGCAGGGTTTATTGAAAAATTATTGTGATGAAGACGTAAATACGCGAATGTTAAATGTGGAAACAATAACACACAAAAAATTTAAGTAATTAAAATTCCCCAGTGTTGGTTTGCATCAAATAAAAAGCTTTTCCGCTCTGTTTGAATTTTAATTTTGTGCGAGATAAAAAAAGAACAGGAAAATTTGCCAATGGAAAGTACACACATTTGCCAAATATAAATGCTTATAGTGTGGTTTGGGATAATGTGAATATTGTACGAATGGATGCGGAAGCCAATATGCGCCCCACGTTCCTCCTCAAAATTGCTCCACCTTTCTCGTCTGGAGTGCTCGAAAGCTCAATTCGGGCGCCTAAACTCGGGGGGCGGAAACGTCCGTTTTATGATTTATTAATTATGAGGGCGGAATTGAATGACTGAAATTGTTTGTTTTAATTTCACTAAGCCACCCCTCAATCAACCACTCAGTCCCGCTTGGGAAATTCTGCACCATTTTCCGCTCTATCCCGCTACGCATTCGCCACAAAACCGTAAAATCCGTTTACCTTGTAATGACAAGCTTAAATAAAATTTATTGCTCTTAAGCACCTGTTTTTAAATCGGATTATTTGAAAAAATTGCCACACCTGAGACACACTCGCACACATTTCTTCACGATTTAAGGGCGGCGCAAGTGGTTCGGGTAAGGAAAACTCTGCCAGCTCATTTTTGGGGTGGTGCTCCGTGTGGAATGGTGGCCAAGGAAGGTTTTCCAGAGCTTTGAAAGACAAACTACAATAAAAAATCATTACTCGTGCACATGGAATGGCAAGCGCACTCGTAAATTTTGGATGAAGTATCATATTTTTTGAGAAGTGATTCTGTGTTAGTTCCCCATCGTAAACTATTGTATTGTATCGTTGGCAGTCAGTCAGTGTGGATTTCTGGGGATACCATGAAAATTGGATTGCGAGGAATACATGCCTTCCTCCATCTCGCTTGTCTTATCCCATCTTCCTTTGTCTTCATCTCCGTTATCCTCTTATATTATTATTATTATTATTTTACAGCATTAATCTCTATTGTCTTCTCCCTGCAATTCCCTGAATACGGATGAATTTACAAGGCGCACAACATGATAATGAAGAGAATTGCGAAAATGGCAAAGGTCTTTGGCATGGAGTGTTACTCTATATTTAAATTAAGCGATTACTTTTCCTCGCCAAAAATTGAATTTGCTGTTGGGAAAATTGATCATACACGCACTGTCAAGATTTGTTGCCAAGACAAACGGAACTCTGTGAACCGCAAAGTGGAAAATTTTGGCATAAGGTCAGTGGTGTTTGAAGAAAAAGCAGTGAAGGGGGTGAAGCAAAAACACTTGGTGCTTTTCTCTTGGCACACAGTCTTAATTGAATTCCTCTTGTAATAAAATATCTAATTGTTCTTCCGTGGAATTGGGGAAGTTTAGAGAGTGAGCACAAAGAAAAACACAAACAGACATGCGAAAGGAGGCGAAACACGATGAAACTGATTAATTATTCACTCGTAATTAAATTTTCCTATTCTTTCCCGCTCTGGGTCAAAAAACATAAATATTTTTGATGCTGACAGACAACTTTTGCATGTTCGACTCGAGAATGGCGAAGGAAAAGTATTCAAGTCACATTGAGCATCTAATATCGCGATATCACTGATAATCCTTCCAGCCACTCAGGAAATAATGGAATTGGACTTACTCTCAAATATTATCATTCATGGGGAAGCGGCGAAAAGGGTTTGACAAAACGCATTTCATCAGTTTTTTTATCACATTTTTTACGATTCCCTATTCAAAATTTTATTCCTTACAGCGAAATAACACTTTTCAGGGTGGAAATTTTGATTAAATAAAAAATGTTGGTGTTACAGCACAAAAAATTACTCTCGAGCAATCAATTTACATTTCCCCAAACACCAACATTTTATGCAAAACCACTCAATTTGAGTAACTTAGTCGTTCGCCAAAGTGTGTCTTCAATATTCAACACTCTATATCACCTCTGTTCATACACATTTTCTCACTCGCACGACCAGCTCGCAAAGTGTCACCACGACGACTGATTCTGACGAGGATTAGCACTAATTTATAGAGAACAGGTTGAATGAGGATGTTTAGAACAGGATCTGGTGGGGGAAAAGAAGAGGTGGAAGTTCTAAAGTCAAAGTATATGAGATCCATAGAAACTCTCTGGAACGGCGCATCGTGGAAGGGATGAAGAGTTGAAGGACTGCGCAGAATCACAACCGATTTTAGTATAGAACTTATCCCTACCCTTAATTTTGCGTCTTCATCCCCACCACAATCCCATGCCATGCACAGAAAATTATTCCCAAATATTGAATATACACCTAGGAATTAGCCGACATGTAAATTGCCTAGTGCAGATATGATGTTAATTACTAATATGAGATGTAATATAGCGATTAGTTTAATGCTGTGCGATAAGCGATGGTGGAATCCAGTATTTTTGGCTCCTCCAGAGAACTGTAAGAGATGCTTTATGTGCGCTCCAGCTTAAAATTCTGCATTGCAACCTAAAGTAAGATTGGTGTTGTGTCAATGTTCCACACGATATCACCCACGTCGTGTTGAAGCGATTTTGGACCATGAATTGTGTTTTATGGATGGTGTGTATTGAGAAAATTCAATTATCATTCTCACGTTTTGGATGACGCTTAAACGTGAGTATTAATAAAAAGAGGGAGCAGAGGAAGAAGCTACTTCAACCCGGGGAAAATTCAAATCGTTGACCTGACGAAATGGGATTTAAGGTTTATTTTCTCACGTTTGCTACATGAAAATATAATATATGTGTACTGAGAAGAAAAAGACAGAACTTGGGTGGATCTTAAGTTCGAAACCTAATCTTTCATTACTTCAATCAAATGTGTCATTTGGTACATGAAATCAAATGACAGGCATGAATGATGGAAGACGAGCTTTGTGTCGCTTTTAGGCATTAAAATTCAATTTTTGCTTCACTTTTATTCACGAGATTTTTTTTATTGAATTTAAAACATGAGAATATTTTGCAGATAAAATGACACAAAATATTTTGCTTCTTTTATTAAAACGAAATACTCTTGCAAATTGTTTGCAAAGAAAGCATTTGCTAAGACTGAAATTTCTCACACAAACTTAATTGCATATATCATGATAAATCGTCTCTATTGCGCTGTCAGTATTCTACTTATTCTATGCACAATTTTCAGTGCTGTGCGTTGATGTGTTGTCATGTGAAAATGTATCAAGTGTATGGAAAATTAATGCGGAATGCATTAGTGTCTGAGCTTAGTTATCCCATTGGCATTCCTCTGCAGCAGGATGCACACACACGCTCGGTGCGGCGGCGCTTGGGTAGGAATTACACGTCAATCAAAGTGCTACCCAAGTGCCGAAAGAAATGGTGTGGGAGCACTCGAGATGGCTTTACATGCTGTGAAAGTATCAAAGGGAAACATGCAGACACACACTATACATCCACTTTATTGTTTATCCACTGTGCTTGCTTTACACCTCCGTTTAACAACTTTATATTGAGAGACGATGGAGGCGATTTGTCGAACAGGCATCTTGCCTCGGGGTGTAATATTTGTGTATGTGGATATGAAGTGATTGTTTGACTTCCATCGCATCATGTGTGGAGTCAGTGGAAACAATCAGGATGTGGGTGGAAACCTTATATTACTGGTAAAAGTGTGCACGTGAATGTCGATGGGGAGGGTGAATTGTTGAGGGTTAACTAGGACATTGTTACAGTGGGAGAATTATACTGTTTCCTAAGTGTAACACCCTCTGGATATTATACGGTTTTGGGTCTCTCCTCAGCCTCAAGCAACCACGCATTTCCATACATCATCTTAGACTAAAGTCAACTTTATCTTTCTATATTTTTTTCCCCATTTCAGCACAGCACTGACGAAATGCACGTAATCATGTGAGTAAAATGTAATCGAAAAAATCCACCATAGAGCTTTTCTCATACATAAATCATCAACTATGGCATTATGTCTTGCTGTAGCATCAATTTGAATCTATACTCAAACATGTGTAATATTCTTATACGGCCACATCTTCTGGGCTACAATAGGGAGGGAATGCGAGGACTACAACACATAAAATATTTTGTAAATAACACCAAACCTCCACCCCGGCAATTCACTTTCTGATTACAATCAGGATTAGAACATACTTGTGTGAGGTAAATTGTTTGCAGCCACCATTGAAATTAGGGTGGGATAGAAAACTTGACTATACGAGGTCGTATCTATAGTGAAAAGCAGGCTTCATCACATACACTTCTGCTCTTTCTCTTGTTGCCTGCACAAATAGACATTTTCCCTGAAGATGAGTCGCTCAATTTCTCATCATCGTCCGCCTACAATAATCCCCTACCATACACCATCACTTAAACTCACTTCCTGCCCCCCTGACATGACTACTACGAGGAAACTTATTATCCCAAAACCTCTAGTGGAATGTCGGTGAAATAGAAGTTGCCTCCTCTTGGCATGTCTCGAAGGGCAAGTGATAAAATTAAGCGAAAAATAAATAGTCATTTCTCTGCCCCACTACAAAATCAACATAAAAAGAGGAAATGGAAGGCACTTTGAGGGATGCTCAATTTCAGAGCCTCACTCGATTGGCATCAAGCTGTTTTGCCCATTTGGAAGCTGTTCGTGAAGGATCAATTAAAATTATGATGTCTCTTACCTTAAACTCAGTCAACTTTTGAGTAATTTATGAGAAGAACTTATGCTCTTTAAAAAATACAACAGAAATTTCCAACAAGAAATCGATGAAACTCAGAATTTTGAAGCACTCAGACTTTAAACTATAAACTCAAAAGCTCAAAAAAGCACTCAAAGCCTTTTAAGCGAAAAGTCGTGTTTAGAAAAGATTCACAGATCAAGGCAAAATGTTGTGATTTTTTTTCGGAAAATTTCCTCTATACGAGCGATTTTTCTATAAAAATTGTTAGATTTTGTTGGGATAAACAGTCGTAAAAAAGTGCAATGGCAGGAAAAAAATTAATCTTAACCAGAATTCAAGTTTACATCTATTGTAAAGCTGCTTTGTGTGTTAACATCCCAGTTTCTCAAGGATGCCTTGTCTGGTTTTCTCAGTACTCCGATGACTTTTTAAGCCTTCAGAGTTTTAATCATTCATGTTGCCCCAGGAGTTCGCGTTATCAACAACTCTCAATATTGCTCCCGTGGCACAGTTCACGACACGAGATTCGTGAATGGCAGTAAAATTTGTACCGACATACTCTGAGAGATGATTGCAATTTGAATAGAGTGGGAGAAAAAATAGCGCTTCACAAGTACTTTGAGAGAGCGGGAAAAACTTAATTAACTTTTGCAATAAAACAAAGTAATAATACAAGTTTCCCAGGAAGCCTCACTCAAATCTAACTAAACACACTGTGAGGTATAAAAGGGCGCCGGCGGATGGGTGGCTATAGAGTGTCCTGTGCGCTAAGGAAGCGAAATGATTTAGCGTTGATTACCGTGTTCTATGCAAGGCACGTTCTCGTGTTGTTATCCATACAGTGTAACATGGAGTGCTGTATGAGTTGCCAGTTTATTCACAATTCTATAAACAAATACATGCAAGCTCACGTGAATACACTACTTAGAGTAGTGCAATGGTAGCCAGTGCAAATGAATAGTGTGTGGTGAATTTAATTTCTCATAACGAATATCTATATCACGCCCACTTCGCTCTCTTGTGAGTCAAGTTGAGGAAGTTTTATTTACACGAAGACGAAACCCTCCACTGCTTTCGCAGTACTTGAATCTCAAGTGCAGTTGCCACGTCGCTCGTGGAAAGAAGCTCAGCTCCTGAACTGTTGCCTCACGTTATCCTCAGATTATGTACTATTCGTCAGACGAGAGCCCCTCAGAAAATTACGTATGCAACATCAGTATTGGATGAAAAATGCTCCTTTTGACCTCTTCTGGGCACTGTAATTGACTGAGAATTCTACATTAGGCTTCAAACGACTATGTGCTCTGCAAGTTGCTATGTATCATGTAAAGCGATGGGAGGTGGAGGAGCTCTCTGACACCCACCTTCTCCAGTTTTAGAGCAACAGTATGATATTTGCGTGATTCATGCAAGTTTATAACTCATTCACTCCTGCTCAAATCCACATCCGTTCATATCGTTATATATGATGAGTTAACGTACGCCATAAAGTTCTTGAATACTTATGCAAGGTATACGAGCAACCCTAGTCTGCTCATCAATATATTTTCAAATGCAGCCAACCCATGACGCTCAACCACTAAGAAACACCACAAGACACACACTCACACACAATGGAGGTAAATCAAATTTTAGACAATTCTAATTTCGAGTAGTGAGAAAAAAGTGGGAATTTCACACTATTTGTCGCGCTCAGTTTACTGCAGAGTGAATGTGAAAAATTATGGAATTTATAATCGTGAATCTGGTAAGATGGATGAGCGTATCCTTCTCACCATGAGCTCGTAGATTTATATTCGTTTTGGCTGGGGATTTGCCTGGCTGCCCAACTCTGTCTCTCTGCCCGGTTGTTAAGGGGCGGCCGGGGGAAATGGCAAAAGAGATATGTCATTTGCAATGGGTAGTCGGTCAAGGGGATGCCACATCAGGTAAATTTGCCTCAATTTATACTATCTCGCTCGTCCTCGTCGTCGACCGAAAATTGTCTAGGGTGTCGCCGTTCCGGCCTCCACCCTTTCCGCCGCCGCCGCCCCAATGTGAAAATCTCACACAATAATAAATGTCAGGTGAAATTGATTTATCTCACACAAAAGTACCGCTGTCACAGTGGTCTCTTTA